AGTGTCCATGGGAAGAGTGTTGAGAATGTTTCCAGCCTAATGTAACTGTCTGCTCAGGATCTCATGACTTGGTTAGTATGAGCTGGGAGGGACAGTGTGACAAGGTCACCTCTGTGAGACACTCACACAGAGTCTGGGCATTCCTATCTTACAATACAGGCCAGCTATAGAACTGAGCAGACAGCTAGAAGGGGAGTGAATCAGAACTTACATAGCCAGTGTTAAAGCATAGACTCTGATAGGGAGAACATACCAAGGTGAAACCCAGAGAAATGAGGTGGGGAGCCTGGCAATTAATAAGCTATTGTTTGATCAGAACTCAAGCCCTAACCACTTGAAAACACAGGGATTATACTTCCCTAATTAAAAGTCATCATATCTTATGCAATTTCTTGTTAAACTCGATCACCTAGCAAGACTGGAAAAGTGAAGGCAGATCAATTTCATCTGAATATTACTCTAATCCAGGACCTAGCAAGCATAGTTAATTATTTAACAAATGCTTGTTACTGAAATGAATGGATAAACAGCACAAACAAGCCATTAAACACGAAGGCAGGTAGGTAAGAATCAAGCAGAAATTAAGTGGCATCTCATGTGTGAGGCTGGATTTCTGAAAGTGATGTGGACTTGATTCTGTAGACAAGATCCAAGGTCAACATGGAAGAGAGAGCTTTTGTGTGACACTGAAACTGGGTCTGGAGAAGGTGACATGATATCATGTCTACCCAGAAAAGGAGGCATACTGTTGGTGTCCCCTGCTCTTGTTGACTTAGCTCAGAGACACTAGTCTGAATGCCAGTAGATTAATCACTGGGGGGTCACAAAGTATACTAGCATAATTTATCCTGCATGAGATCATTGGAAATAGGCGTTCTGGCTGATTCTGGAAAGACTATATCTTGGCTTCATTTCTCATTGTAATTTGATGGAAAGCAGGGTATTGATTTTTAAAGTAAAAGCAAGAAATATTTGGAAAGGTTTTGATCATTTCCTGTAGGAGGAAGTCTGATGCCGCCATTAAACATGTGACTTACTAGAGGCGCATACAGATGAGGTAATAAAAGGGCGGTTTACCACACCGCTAACCACACCCACTTTAGGCAGGACTAAAGACGTATACGGCTGGACGTAAAGACGTATACGTACGTAGGCGGAACTACGTCACTAGCCAGGCCCACTTTTGGGCATGGCTAGGGGCGTTACGGGGGAAGGCATAAAAGACAGCGCACAGGAAGTCTCTCTCTCTTTTCCTGGAGTTCGGCTTCCGGTCCAGTCGCTAGCTGAGATCTGCTGGGCTTCTCGGGGTTTGGTATCTTGTGAGTAATTTTCTACATTAAATACTTAGCTTCACTTTCAGTAACTGTGTGTCGCATATCGTTACAGCGTCCAGTAAAGCCAACAATTTCCATTGACATTATTAGGGCCATAACAAATCATCCATGTATTAAAGCTAAATATTCCTGTAGAGGAGTTGGGTCCCAGTAAGCTTGTCCCACTCCTGAACTCTTACTAGAAAAGCCCAGTAAGTGTTTAGACTATACCTCTAGATTTTGTTTCTTCATGACCTACTCTGTTGTCTTAATTCTTTCAAGGGTTCTACTTAGAAAAGAGTATTCCCTAGTTTGTTTACTAGTGAATTAAAGATGTCTGGAAATTTCCAAATAAGCATTGGGAACTATTAACATTTTCTTGTCATTTCTCCTTTGAATATGGTTTTCTATGAATAGTATATGGTAGCATTTAAGGACAATTCAGATTTATGTATGAGTCATGCTGGGGAAAAATGCATTCTGGGGTGTAGCTGAAGCACAGCCAGATCAAAACCAGTAGAAACAACACTAGTCTGCTAGTCTGTCTAACTCTATATCTTAGAGCTTAAACAACACTAGTCTGCTAGTCTGTCTAACTCTGTATCTTAGAGCTTAAACAACACTAGTCTGCTAGTCTGTCTAACTCTGTATCTTAGAGCTTAAAAAAGGACTGAAAGTGAGATGTGTTCAAAACATAGATGCTCAAAGTAGAAAAGTGGAGCAACAAATATGGTGGGTGTGTTAATTGTAATAATACAAAGTAATGTTCCAAGGGACTGAGGGACATGGTTAATAATTAGTCATAATACGTAATCAAGTCAAACTTGTATTTCATGGAAACATGGGTTCTTGAATGACTCTATCTTGAAAACAGGCAGATGGCAGGAATAGTGCTTGCATACTAACTGGGTGAACCACAATTGCATTTAAGACTCTCTCCTCACCGGGCGTTGGTGGCGCACACCTTTAATCCCAGCACTTGGGAGGCAGAGGCAGGCGGATTTCTGTGAGCTCAAGGCCAGCCTGGTCTACAGAGTGAGTTCCAGGACAGCCTCCAAAGCCACGGAGAAACCCTGTCTCAAAAAACCAAAAAAAAAAAAAAAAAAAAAAAACCTCTCTCCTCATCATGAAATGAGAGCTCTAATTTATAGCTTTGTGGAACTCAGAGACTCGATAAATTATTTCGAAAAAGGATGATATATTCTTATTAAACCCTCAAATTTCAATTCATTATGAGTTAATGTTCTTATTTTTCTTCTTCTTGTTTCTTCTGTGTGTGTGTGTGTGTGTGTGTGTGTGTGTGTGTGTGTGTATGACTGTACACAAACATATGGAAGCTAGAGGAGTTGTTCTTCAGCTGTCAATCACCTTTTTAATCAAATAAACAGATAAAACAAAATAAATAAAAAACAACAGCAAACACTAGGTCTCATTCTTGTATGGGTTGCCAAATAGACTATACTGGACAGCTACCAGGTTCCAAAGATGCAGGGGTTACAAGCGCCCTGCCACCACACCCAGTGGTTCTGAGAATCAAACTCAGGTACTTGCAGCACACAAAGCAGGAACATTACTGACTTCTCTGTCTTCCTAGTCCCTGATTTGAGTTTTCATTAAAAGTGCTTTAGGTAATTATTTGTTTCAATATTCATTAGAGACTTAAAATAATTGGTGGTTATAGAAAACCCCACACTCAGACTCATTTACACAGGGAATGAATGTGCCCAAAACTATAAAATTACAAGAAAAAAAGCAACTCAGAAACTCCTAATACCCTCTCCACCTCCTTAAACCAGCACCTTGCCAGCTGCTTAGAAACAACTGGACTTTCAGCAGATAAAGAATAGCTAATTACTATCTGTTTCCTGTTCTCAGAGCTGTCACATTAAGAAAATAGAATTGAGGCACCATCGCTTCAGGGCTTACATTATCTAATATCCAAAGATTAAGCTGCCGCACAAAGCCCTGCAGAACAAGAGTCAGAACATTCTGCAATATATCAGTTGAGTGGCCCATGATTAATTCATTGGGAACTCCTTGCTGAATGTCAGGTGCAGGCTCACTGCTTCAAGGACTTTCTTCTAAACATGCCGGTTATATTAAGAAGGGCTTACTGCCAGGCGTTGGTGGCGCATGCCTTTAATCCCAGCACTCGGGAGGCAGAGGCAGGTGGATCTCTGTGAGTTCGAGGCTGGGCTGGACCGATAGCCTCCAAAACAATACAGAGAAACCCTGTCTCGTAAAAAAAAAAAAAAAAAAAAAAAAAGAAGGGCTTACTATAGTATAATAGAATGTTAGATATATGATCTTTTAAAAATAATATTAAATAATATGAACACTGAAAGAGACCTAAAAAGGAAACATATTATAAAGCTCAAAATAAGAATCCAGAGCTACAAAAAAAAAAACCCTAGAATAAAGATGAGAGTCTGAGTAAATGTTCGTATGGTTCCTAACTTTTCGTGTTGAGCTCTAGTCTTAGAATAACCAGGTGGTGGTGGTGGATGCCTTTAATCCCAGCGCTTGGGAGGCAGAGGCAGAGGCAGGTGGATCTCTGTGAGTTCAAGGCCAGTCTGATCTACACAGCTACACAGAGGAACCCTATGTCAAAAAGACAATAATAATGTTATATAGAGGTGAGGCCTTGGGGGTAATTAGGTCATGAGGGCAGAATTCTCCAGGCAGGATAGGTACTTCATAAAACCAAGGGCAGATAGTTGATGCTGGAACCAGAGCACACATAAGAGATGTCACTGCAAAGGGAAGGCTGGAATTTCAGGGGGTCACAGTCATAGTTGAAAAGTTATTCAGGATAGACAGAGAACAGAAGTCCTTGGCTTCTGACCTAGTCTACCTTCTTCTAGTCACCTTGACTGATGCCATCGGTAGGCTCGCCTAGGGACATAAGGAACGCATGCTGAAGAGGCCAGCTCCCAGTGGAGAAGTACTGCAAAGCACCTTAGGCTGCGGTGGGCAAACAGGATGAGAACCCAGGTTCCACTAAGAACCACAGGCTCGGAGTAGGAATACAGTATGAGAACCCATATCCGTAAAGCTGAGTACACAAGAATTCCTTTCCATATTCTGAAACACTGATGCTTCATCTAGACCCTTTGATATCAGGATACGGCACTGTCATCTGCAAATTTCCTGAGCTACATTTATAGCCATCCTTGCTGACATACAGCCCAGAGGCTGCAGATTGAACCTGCTGGATCCACATGGGCGAGTTTCGTCCGGCAGTAAAGAAAGGCCCTCAGTCAAAGGAGAAAACCATGTTTAAAGTGAATTTCATAGCTTCATGCAGTCTTCCTAACCTCTATTTAGATACTTTGGGAGGTGTGTAGAACACAGTGATAGACAGGGTGTAATTACTAGGGGGTAGGAACCCAATCTGTAGGGAAACTGTCTTTGGTAATTGGATTGGAGCCTAATGTCAAGTCAGCGGTCTTAGGGTCAGGACAGGGATGGGAAGGAAATCTCACAGGGGAAGTCAAAACTTCAATTACAAAATCACTTTTAACAGAGAATGCTGCTGAGAGCTTCATAGGCTCTGCTAGGTAACTGCCAACCCATAGTAAATTACCACTGTGGTTTCTATCTAGTTTTTACATTATATGTAGAGATATTTTACTCCTTAAGTATGAGAAACCCCAGAGAGATGTGAGAAGATATGTGATTCCTTACCTTATTACCCCCCAAGAAGTCAATTTTGAGTTTGACATATTTCCAGATAAAGGTCTATTATGAAGTTTTAAGGTGTATTTGAAATTCAAATAAAATAGCTGGGTATGATGTGGAGGCTTGAAACCATCAGGCAGTCATCTCAAGCATGGGCTTGAGTGACCTTCTCCCAGGGATTGAAGACAAAGAGCCATGAGAAACCTGCAAAAAGAGGTATACTGTCATATCTCTCTCTCTCTCTCTCTCTCTCTCTCTCTCTCTCTCTCTCTCTCTCTCTCTCTCTGTCTCTGTCTCTCCCTCCCTCCCCCCATCCCAGGTGTTTTGCTTGCATGTATATTTTCTGTGCAAGAGAGAAGCACTTCTGTACCCCAAGAGCTCTCTGAGACTTGCTGAGTCTGAGGGAGGCAGCAGGGACGAGAGGAACTGTACGCTTGTTTTAGGCAGGTGACGAGCAAGGAGACAGAGCCCGGCGGTCCTGAAAGAGACAAGCATCCGAGGTCAGCATCATGGATGTTAGCGTTCCTCTCGATCACGCCCATTCTGAAAGGCTCCCACTTCCCCTGGCCCCCTCCACCCCTGCACGGGCTGTGAGAAAGATGGTTCCAACATCCAAGCCCTTGACTGAGGTCAAGCAGGCACAGCCTGCTCTCCAGATGGTTTCCCTCCCTCCCCTGCCTGTGAGTCCAGCAGGTGCAGACAACAGCCTGGTGTCCAGAACACACAGGCCCTTATCTCCTGAACGCGCCTGGCAGAGTACTGACCCCTCCCCTCCGCTCTCTGCAGCCCCAGGCAGAGTACTGACCCCTCCCCTCCGCTCTCTGCAGCCCCAGGCAGAGTCCTGACCCCTCCGCTCTCTGCAGCCCCAGGCAGAGTCCTGACCCCTCCCCTCCGCTCTCTGCAGCCCCAGGCAGAGTCCTGACCCCTCCCCTCTGCTCTCTGCAGCCCCAGGCAGAGTCCTGACCCCTCCCCTCCGCTCTCTGCAGCCCCAGGCAGAGTCCTGACCCCTCCCCTCCGCTCTCTGCAGCCCCAGGCAGAGTCCTGACCCCTCCCCTCCGCTCTCTGCAGCCCCAGGCAGAGTCCTGACCCCTCCCCTCCGCTCTCTGCAGCCCCAGGCAGAGTACTGACCCCTCCGCTCTCTGCAGCCCCAGGCAGAGTCCTGACCCCTCCGCTCTCTGCAGCCCCAGGCAGAGTCCTGACCCCTCCGCTCTCTGCAGCCCCAGGCAGAGTCCTGACCCCTCCGCTCTCTGCAGCCCCAGGCAGAGTCCTGACCCCTCCGCTCTCTGCAGCCCCAGGCAGAGTCCTGACCCCTCCCCTCCGCTCTCTGCAGCCCCAGGCAGAGTCCTGACCCCTCCGCTCTCTGCAGCCCCAGGCAGAGTACTGACCCCTCCCCTCCGCTCTCTGCAGCCCCAGGCAGAGTCCTGACCCCTCCGCTCTCTGCAGCCCCAGGCAGAGTACTGACCCCTCCCCTCCGCTCTCTGCAGCCCCAGGCAGAGTCCTGACCCCTCCGCTCTCTGCAGCCCCAGGCAGAGTCCTGACCCCTCCGCTCTCTGCAGCCCCAGGCAGAGTACTGACCCCTCCGCTCTCTGCAGCCCCAGGCAGAGTCCTGACCCCTCCGCTCTCTGCAGCCCCAGGGTGGAGGCGCCCAGGGCCGTGGAAGGCTGGCTTCTGCTCTGCCGCCACGCCTGCGCCTTGGCCACCAGCCTCTTGCGCACAGTGGGGAGACATCTCCTCGCTTGAGTTCAGAGGTCAATGTTTGCCTTTTGCCGTAGTTGTTTCATAAGGCAGCCGGGGCGTTTATTTCTACACTGCGTTAAATTGTCCTTTTCATTTGTCATCAACATCCACCCAGCCACACGTAGAAACTTGATACTTTTAAAGTGGACAGTGCCAGTATTACTGCTTCCCGTTTTAACCCCTTTCTGCTCAAATTCTCCCGTCTCTGTCACTAAAATTTTAGGTGCGTGGCTGGTTCCCGGCCCCCGAAAGTCCCCTCAACACCGTGTGCTAAGATTACCTCTGCTTCCCTCCCTCTGGGTTTGCTTCTTCGGGACTGTCCTGGGTCCAGCTCTTTTAGCTTTCGCCAAGGTTTAGCCGTGCTCTGCTGCACAGAATTCTCAACCTTAGTGACTCTTCCATCCTGAATTTAATCGCTTCTCCGGAGAAGAGCAAGGCGGTTCCCGGCTGCCAGCGCCCTCCACACCCTGCTTTCCCTTAACTATGGTTTCTTTCACACAGAAGTCCTGGTGGGGTGAGCTCAGCTTTGGGCGGAATCCCTGCTACCCGCTCTGGAGGGAGATGTTGACCTAGACGGTAAAATGTCCCTAAAGCGAGGGAAAGAGACCTGGGAACGGCCAGGATGGAAGGCGGTTTGGTCAGAGAGCCGCGTCTTTTTCTTCTGGCATGCTGGGTAAGGCGTGCTCCATTTCAGAAAGTCGGAAGGAGCATGCGGCCAGTGACCTCGATCATCCCTGGGGCTGCAGAGAGCGGAGGGGAGGGGTCAGTACTCTGCCAGGCGCGTTCAGGAGATAAGGGCCTGTGTGTTCTGGACACCAGGCTGTTGTCTGCACCTGCTGGACTCACAGGCAGGGGAGGGAGGGAAACCATCTGGAGAGCAGGCTGTGCCTGCTTGACCTCAGTCAAGGGCTTGGATGTTGGAACCATCTTTCTCACAGCCCGTGCAGGGGTGGAGGGGGCCAGGGGAAGTGGGAAGCCTTTCAGAATGGGCGTGATCGAGAGGAACGCTAACCTCCATGATGCTGACCTCGGATGCTTTCCTCTTTCAGGACCGCCGGGCTCCGTCTCCTTGCTCGTCACCTGCCTAAAACAAGCGTACAGTTCCCCTCGTCCCTGCTGCCTCCCTCAGACTCAGCAAGTCTCAGAGAGCTCTTGGGGTACAGAAGTGCTTCTCTCTTCTCTCTTTCACAGAAAACGACCCATCTATATTCTTCTCAGTGAACCAAAGTCTTTTAATAGGACATACACGTGTTTGTCTACTCTTGGAAGTGAGAGTCAGACGAGTATTCAAGCTGACTGGGCTGTAAACCATCTGGATTTTTAAAAAGAAAGAGTGAGAGAGGAGAGAGAGAGAGGAGGGGAGAGGGGAAGGTGTAGGAAGGGTAAGAAGCCTGTGCAATGTGCAGAGAGATGAGAAAGGGACAAAACTCAGAAAGGAGAAGCTGAGTCCCCAAGGGAAAGCCAGGCTTTGTTGGAGCTGCTGCCTCACTCTTCACACCCCTGCAATGCCCTCCCTTACTCCTCACACCCCTGCAATGCCCTCCCTTACTCCTCACACCCCTGCAATGCCCTCCCTTACTCCTCACACCCCTGCAATGCCTCCCTTACTCCTCACATCCCTGCAATGCTTCCTCATTCCTCACACCCCTGCAACGCCCTCCCTTACTCCTCACACCCCTGCAACGCCCTCCCTTACTCCTCACACCCCTGCAACGCCCTCCCTTACTCCTCACACCCCTGCAACGCCCTCCCTTACTCCTCACACCCCTGCAACGCCCTCCCTTACTCCTCACACCCCTGCAACGCCCTCCCTCACTCCTCACACCCCTGCAACGCCCTCCCTCACTCCTCACACCCCTGCAATGCCCTTACTTGCTCCTTATACACCCCTATGTGCCTTTAGACTCATTAGTACTTATACACAACTGGGAATCGGCTCTTGTACCGCCCCAAATTCTTTTGCTGTTGAGGACAGCGAGGGATGGAAGAGGTGAATCAGTTCTCAGAACAGAGGGATGCTAAGATGGAGATGCCCACTCACCTCCTTTTAGACACCTGGTGCCATTGCTTAGAAACTGTTTGGTCAGCGTCATGGTGAGTGTACTGAAAGATCTTCATCTTTCTGTTGTATCGTTATGATCATAAGATAGTGATACACAGAAATATTTGGATTCTGGATAATGACTGCTGTGACCCAAACAAGAAAAACCGATAGTCTCTCTGAGATGCTTCAGAATCCAAAGCCCAGCCTCACAGGCTGTCATGACCAGCACTAGAGGTACAAATGGCTTTTTTTTTTTGAGACAGGTTGTATGTTATATGTTCCCATTGCTGGCCTCAAACTCATGATGCAGCTCAAGTTGGCAAGCCTTCTTCTGATAGATTCCAGGATCAGAGGTGAAATTTCTGATTCTGGGGGTCCAAGAGGAAATGACGTGCTAGGTGGGCTAGCACCCCCTACCTGGACAAATAGCCCTTCCTTTAAGGTTTGTTTATTATTCATTTATTTTTATGTGTCTGGGTGTTTTGCCTGGATGTGGGTTTGTACATCACGTGCGTGCTTGTGTCCTCAGAGGCCAGAAGAAGGTGTTGGATCTAGCGGGGCAGTTGTGAGCTGCCATGGAAGTGTAGGGAATGGAACCCTGCCCTTCTGAGGACCAAGCAGTGTCATTAGCTTCTGAGCCATCCCTCTGGCCCTTGTTTGTTTGTTTGTTTGTTTTTATCTGAGTACCACAAAAAGTACTAACAGTGACGAAGACATGGCGTTCCCACTGTGTGGAGTTCTGAATCATTTCTTCATTGTGAAATAAGAATCTAAGGACTGATCCATTGGGGGAACTCACCACTGAGTTTGTTCACAATAAATCTGATAAAGTTCATTCCAGTGGCATTCCAGAGTACTTTTTCTCTGATTTTTCTTCCAGACAAGATCTCCCAGGTTGAAAATCACGATGAGGATGTTTAGAATGACGTCATGGCAAAGGTGGCCTTAACTGTTGGATATATTATGGGTGGAATTTTGACATGTTTGCATACAGTAAGGTAGATTCCAGCATCAGAGGTGGAATTACATGCTGTCTCCAAACATCACACACATACACACACACACACACACACACACACACACACACACACACACGCCCATTCACTGCATTCACTAGACTGTCTTTGTACAAAAGAGCTCAAGAGTTCCTGCAAACTTTGCTGAGTTTAGTCGGGACATTCCTGTCTTCCCAGGAAATTGTGCATGGTAAAGACAGTGTAATTTTTGAATGAGAATTGTGTCATATAGTTCCTTTAAAGTGCTTTGTTCCCAATCACTTGTTGTAAACATTGGAATAGCTCAAGTTAAAAGCCCAAAATGTATAGCTTTTCAGGGGCTGTAAAAGTTGCAGCTTTTTGGAAAGAGAATTCTTCAAATCATCCTGAAATAAACAAACCACTCTTAAAACTCATTCATATCTGGAGGGGGGAGCTGGAGGGGCGTCAGAAGGTGTCCAAAGGACCCTCGATAAGTCCTTGGTCATCTTCCTCCTGCACAGATTTTCTCTGATGAAAAACTGGTTTGCCAGTTTGCACCAGTGATGATTTAGGACTATCCTATCAGCCCATCTGAATTTCATGGAGACATTTACATAACACAGAGGAGGAAACATTCTTGCTTCTCAGTTACTGCAACAAATGACAGATAAGCACACGTGTGTTTATCTAGTACGAGTTTTACAGAGCAGAAAGCTTGGGTTGGGTGTTTATGGGCCCGATCGTTTTTGAGCAGTGGGGATGTGAATGAAAGGTCATGTGGACATTGCCCATCCTTGTTTTTCAAAATCAGGGACTAAACATGGCCTTTACAGTGGCTTCTGATTATCTCCGGAGACTGATCTTTTGGAGTGTGCACACACAAATAAATGAAGATCGTTGTTAGGTCTCAGGCAGTGCAAGGACAGGGACTCTGTGAGAACCAAACAAAGGGCTTTGAGCTTGGGCAGCTTCGTGGGAAAGGAGATGGGACGATAAGACCTAACAGGGTTGGATTTGTAGATTTTTCTCATCCTCAACTCTCCGGCTGTAAGAACTTCTCCCTCTACCCCAACACAGGGTACTTTCCCTCCTTCTCGTGGGGGAGGTCAAATGCCTCTCTTTACCTGCTAGTTTTCAGGTGCCTTTAGTCTAAACTGATGATGAGCATGGCATAGCGGCTGATGGGAATTGGTGTGTTAGAACTCCTTCAGCCATACTCACTTGATGCTGCTTGATATCTAAGCAGCTGTCTCTGAGCCCTGGGGAGGATGCGGGGGCAGGGTCATGCAGACTTTGTCCATCCTTGTTTCTTCAAATCAGGGACTAAGTGTGGCGGTTTAATAGTGGCTTCTGATTGCCTTTGGACACCGATCCTCTGGAGTGTGCACACACCCAAATAATTGAAAATCATTGCTATGTCACAGGCAGTCCATATATCGAGAAATGAGTTCAAGCTAGGCTGCAGAAGGATGTCTAGTGGCTAAAGAAAAGCTGTTATGATAAAGCATGAGGGGAAACTTGGTGGATTCCATGGCAGGCAAATTTGGAAAATCTGTTTTGTAACCAAATCCAGTCGTGTGTGCTTCATTTTAGCCTTGTGATCCCTTGGCTTACACAGGCAGAAGTGCGGAAGCTACTGGATCATGAACCAAGCTTGTGTCACGCCAGGTCCTCGCCGCCCCCACCTCCACAGCGGCTTCCCAGATCCCAGGGATGCTGGGATTAAAGGCGTGCGCCACCACCCCCCCACCCCCCCACCCACCCCCACCCCCGGCTCAGGGTAGGGTTTCTAAAGTGCTGTCATTGCATTACACCAGGTCCAGGCTAAGGGAATCATCTCCCACTCCTTGGTCCTCCTTGTTTGTTTACAAGGAAGGGATGGATCACTTCCCAGCAGGGAAAAGGGTCCCCTTTGGTCTGCACACCTTATAAGTATTAGAGGAAACCCTGTTTGCAGGGCAGGATACGGGCTCCCTAGGAGAGGAGGTGTGCAGTCTGGATAACCTGACCGCTCCTAAGTCATTCATTGTGTTTTTTCCAAAACAATTGTGGCTTCGGGTTAGCTGAGTTCTGTTCTGTCTCTGTCTTTAATACTCCATACCACGTGTGGAAGATGATGGGAAGTGGTCAGAGCTCGTCCTGGAAGTCTCCTGGATGACGGGAAGTCTCCTCAGTGACCGGGCACTCTCCCCTTTCTTTTCCAAACCTCCTATATTCTGGAAGAGTTTCTAAAGAAAATCGGATACCAGACTGTTGAGACAATGGGCCCTGTCTCAGGTACGGTTACAAACACCATGATGAAAGTTAGGGAAGAAGGGGTTATTCAGCTTCTCACATCACCGTTCATGGTCACAGGAAGTCAGGTCAGGAACTCAAGCATGGCAGGGACCTGGAGACAGGAGCTGACTCAGAGACCATGGAGGGCATTCTGCTTACATGGCTTGCTCAGCCTGCTTTTCTTACAGAATCCAGGACCACCAGTCAGGGATGGCCCCACCCACAGCGGACTGGACCCTCCCCCACTGATCACTCACAGAAGATGCCCTTCAGCCAGATACCATGAAGGTGCTTTTCTCAGCCGAGGGTCCCTCCCTTCAGGTAACTTTCAGCTGTGTCAAGTTGACGTAAAACTATCTGGTACAGACCCAAACAAATTAGTATTTCCCCCAGGCTTCCTTTAGCTTCTGCCAAGGTGTCTGGCTTCAAGGACTCTAGGCAGCTTTGGGGTGAGGCCCTCGTTTTATCTGGCGGGTAGCACCTCGCTGGTGGTCTACACCGTTGCCTACATCTCTGAGCTAGCCCGGCTCCACTCGGCTGTCAATGTGCAGGAGGTGATGGACATGGGAAGGTAAGGTGAATGCCATCGTTAAAACAGCTGGTGTCCATGTTGAACCGTTCTGGCCCAGCTTGTTTGCAAAGGCCCTGGCCAATGTCAACACTGGGAGCCTCGCCTGCAGCACGGAGGGGGGGGGGGGCTGCTTGGCCCCTTCCACTATAGCTACCCCTGCTGAGAAGAAAGCAAAGAAAGGAGGGGGTGGGGTGATGGCGGAAAGGAGGGGGGTGGGGTGATGGCCTGGCCTTTGCTCTTTTTAACTAAACCTCTTTTGCTAACATGTTCAGTAAAAAAAGCCGAACCTGTAAAGCCAAACGACAACAAGAGAAGTAAGTCTCCCAGTAGTCTCAAATGGCGGGGTGGGGCCTTGTGCTAGCCAGAGGGAGAGCTGTCTCCTGGAAAGACATTCCACAGCCCCAACAACTTGTCAGACCACCTTGCAGGAGAGACTGGAGCCCAGACAGTGAGCGGTCAGTGATGGGAGGGGCCGCACTTTGACCTGGACTGCTTATTCATGAGTAAGTCTTGTCCCCCACTGAAGTTCACGTCAGGACCCCAAGACAGACTCGGTGTCACCGGACTCTGGTCCTTTTTCCTATTCGCCACATGGAATCCATTGTCTTTCTCTGCTTTTTCCTATTATTTGTCTCTTCAGTTGATCTGCTGAGGATGATTGGCTGAGCCTGGCTTGGTAATACTTCCACAACCCGGACTGTGACCCTAGCGACTCCACCAATACCAGAGCCCTTCCAGCTGCGGACAGGCAGCCCTCTCATCCCCCTTTCCTCCCCAAGAACGGCACTGTCCGGAGACCTGGAATTCTAGCTACCATCAATTTGATTCAATACCAGGGGAGTGGGGAGCATTCCTTCCCTCTCCCAGGATTCCCAGGGTTGCAAACAACAAGCTCATAGGTCACAGGGCTTTGTGAAGGAATGTGAGGCTTTGCTCAGCTGCCCCTTGGGAACCAACACCTGAGGTTCAAACGGTGTTCTCTCTTTCCTTGGCAGCCCTGAGGCACTCCCCATCCAAGCTTACAATGCTCTCTCGTTTCTGTCATTCAGGTAAAACTGACCAAGATTTACTCCACCCATTTTCCTTGGAAGCCAGCCCCTTTGTAATCCATATAAATTCCGCACCACAGGGACTGAGTGACTGAAGAAACGGGCTTCCAATTTGCCCTGGAGTTCAAACTCAAAGTTTAGGTAAGTAGCCCAGAGATGGCGTCAGAGACTATTTCTGACTGAGAGATGGAACCCAGAGAGTCAGGGCCAGTCTGGAGGCAGGGGTGAAGGCAGGGGTGTGGTGAGGTTTAAAGGGGTGGGGAGGACAGAGCACCCAGGTTGGGGAAGGGGGGGTGTATGTTTAGAATACAACTCAGTTCCTTTATAGTACAGGGCCATGCACTGGACCAAGTTCCCTGCATTGTAAGACTGTCTATCGGGCGCAGTCCTGGGGGTCAGTAGTGACCACGGAATATAATTTAGCTCATAGCACATCCAAAATGACCTTCTGATGAGCCATTGGAACACTCTGTACAATGTGTTCTCTTTTTCAAATGTATCTTATGCCGGGCAGTGGTGGCGCACGCCTTTAATCGCAGCACTCAGGAGACAGAGGCAGGTGGAGCTCTGTGAGTTCGAGACCAGCCTGGTCTACAGAGCGAGTTCCAGGACAGCCTCCAAAGTCACAGAGAAACCCTGTCTCGAAAAACGAAAAAAAATGTATTTTATGAAAGACCCCAAATTTACAGAGATAAAATATAAGCTTAAACAGGGAGGGCACCCCACTAGAGAACTCAGAAAGTAAACAAAGGACCCCATCCCAGGAACTGGCCAAACCACAGAATGGAATGTATGGTTTAGCAACCTTAATTGCAGGAGGGCTGTAAATCCACAAAAGGCCAATTACGGGCTGCTGACCACCTGTGAAGAACTGGCCAGGGCGTCAGAGATGGGCAAACAAGATTCGTGGGAAACAAGGAGATGATAACCACCATTTACTTAGGGAGAGATGATTAACTCATACCAAGGTTTGAGGAATTTACAACGTGTAGGTCAGGAAGACATCTACTTCCCCTTGTCAGTAGTCACGTACATCCCCCGCGCCCCCCCCCCGTCACAAGATAGGGACCCCTCCCAAAGGCTTGTGGTTTTTGTCTTTAAAAGCTGATTGTAACTGAACCTCGGGGCCAATCGGTCTAAAAGCTGACCGAGAGGCCTATCTGCAGATGCCTAATTAAAGCCTCTTGAGTGTTGCCTCAATTGGCGCGTGGACTCTTGATTCTTGGGGCCACGAATCCAGCTTGGGGACCCCTCCTCAATTCGGGGAACCCCAACATTTTATATGAAAGAAACACTAGTATTCAGTATACCTCCAGGAATTTAGGTGGCACAGCCTACCCTCTAGGGGAAAGAATAGCTTTTCTTCAGTAGGGAATGAAGTAAAACACTTGCAAGCTCTCTCAGCAGAGGGAAATCTTCCAGGCTCACCCAAAGAACAGACTTGTCCTGGGGAGGCTGAGGTTGGGGAGTGGGCTGGGGGGCTGAGGTTGGGGAGTGGGCTGGGGAGGCTGAGGGTGTGTCCTTTTTTCTCTCCCTTCCCCTGTCAGGCTCCTCAGAGCAGCAAAGCCACCATGAGTCTGCAGAAGTCCCTCATCTTGCTTCCATTGCTTGTCCTGCTGCTTGGATGGCTCCAGCCTTCCCTGGGCAAGGAGTCTGCTGCCATGAAGTTCGAGCGGCAGCACATGGACTCGACTGTTGCCACCAGCAGCAGCCCCACCTATTGCAACCAAATGATGAAGCGCCGGAACATGACACAGGGGTACTGCAAGCCCGTCAACACCTTCGTGCACGAATCCCTGGCGGACGTCCACGCTGTCTGCTCCCAGGAAAACGTCGCCTGCAAGAACGGGAAATCCAACTGCTACAAGAGCCACTCGGCCCTGCACATCACCGACTGCCGCCTGAAGGGCAACGCCAAGTACCCCAACTGCGACTACCAGACCAGCCAGCTGCAGAAACAGATCATTGTGGCCTGCGAGGGGAACCCCTTCGTGCCAGTCCACTTTGATGCTTCCGTGTAGGGCTCCACCTGCGCCAAACCAGAGAGATGTCCCTGCCTCCCAGCCTCATCACGTCGATACCCGCCTCGCGCCAAACCAGAGAGACGTCCCTGCCTCCCAGCCTCGCCTCTCTTTCCTTCTTTCCCAGAGAAGAAATAAGCCCCGGGAGGGCTTCCGTGTGACAAAACACGCTTTCCTCTCCTGGGCTAGGCTCCTGGTCCGAGCAGATGAAGCAAGACAGCCCTCGCCAGAATGTGCCCCTTCCAACCTGAGGTTTCCTTGATTTCAGAAGCACGAACCCAATAAAATTGTGTTCATTATAAACGACTCAGCCGGAGGTGTCCTTCTAGGGCAGTTCACAATGGACCAAGGACAGCAGGCAAGTCGCCTTATCGGTCCAGACCGTCCCCCCACCCCTGGCAGCTTTAACTATACCCTGAGACTAGAATTCTCTGCCTCTTCTGGCGCGCTGGTCATTCATCCTTCTACCTTTGTGAGTCTAACGTCAGTTTCAGCCCTCGGTGGCTGGGTCCATGAGCTCCCCTCACCAGCACAGACTTGCCACACCTCACTGAGAGGAGGCCAGGAGAGCAAGGGGATGGTGCTCTTGCTGTTGCCTTCCTGTGAGCTTCTTCCTCACCCTTCCCTTTCTCCGTGTGCAGGAAACGCAGCTAGCTCCCAGTCTTGCCTTCCAGGGGCCGCTTCCTTTCTCCTGCCTCCTCAGACTGACTCAGAGCTTGTGCAGCGCGTGGGGATGCGTGGGGCCTTCATTTCCAGTGCGAGTGGGAATCAGACCCCAACGAGGCTTTTGGGAATCAGCCGTGACCGTGGCAGTCTCGCCCACGGGGTTCTGAGTGGAAGGAGTAGCGTGAAGGGCTGGCCGCTGGCACACCTGGGACAAACTACAGTTGCTCTGCAGATGAGTCAGTAGTTTTAGCTATATCCGAGTAGTTTTCTCTCTTTTTAACCAGTGAAGGGTGTGTGTGTGTGTGTGTGTGTGTGTGTGTGTGTGTGTGTGTGTGTGTGTTTGGTTTTTCAAGACAGGGTCTCTCTATGCATCCCTGCCTGTCGTGGAACTCTCGATAGACCAGGCTGGTCTTGAACTCAGAGATTCCCTCCCACTGCCTCCTGAGTGCAGGGGTTAGAGATGTGTACCCCCTCTGCCCTCCTCCACCTCTCAAGCACTGACTTACAGGTGTTGTGGGAAGGAACTTCTTCCATGATTATCTTCCCATTTCCTTGTCTTAAAGAAAAGAAGCAGGACTAGACAGAGAGATGGGTCAGTTGTTAAAAGCACTGACTGCTTTCTTCAGAGGCCCCAAGCTTGGATCTCAGCACCCACATGGTAGCTCACAGCTGCCTGTAACACCATTTCCAGGAGTTCTGGGATCCTCTTCTGGCCGGAGGGCATTTGCACATATGCACATATGCGGTGCACATAAACTCGTGCATGTGCATACACATACATAAAAATAAGAAATAAAGAGACAGGCTTTATCCTTCAGAGCAGTTTTAGATGCGCACGCTAGTCTAGCCATGAGTGTCTTCGTAGCTAAGCAGAGAGCTTGCTCCTCTGAGTGGATGGGGGCATGCTATGCCATCGTGGTGGCTACGCTTTAAAGTTCATGGTACCCACAAGCCGCTTTCTAGGTTTTTCCTTACGAGTTGGGAAGGGCTTATATTGAAAGTCAGTTTCTTCCTTTTGCATCTCCCCTGAGTCTACAGGGGAGATGCAAAAGAAAATTTGCCCTGGGCCCCTGACTTAGCCTAGACCAACTAAAGCTCCGCCCTGACTTAGCCTAGACCACTAAAGCCGCCTGTACTCATTTTCCCTGTCTACACCACAGCTTCCTAACAACAGGGATAGGTTTGTGTGGTGGAGCATGGCGGCGTGCAGGCAGACATGGTGCTGGCTACGTCTTGCTCAGAAGGCAACAGGAAGTGGGCCATGACACTGAGCAAAGTGTAAGCCTGCCTAGCGATTCCCACTTCCTTCCACAAGATCTCATTCAACCAGGCCACACCTCCCAACAGTGCCACTCCCTATGCGTTTACAGGGGCCAATTACATTCAAACTGCCACAGGAGCCTTTTTTTTTTTTTTTTTTTTTTTTTTTTGGTTTTTCGAGACAGGGTTTCTCTGTATTGTTTTGGAGGCTGTCCTGGAACTCGCTCTGTAGACCAGGCTGGCCTCGAACTCACAGAGATCTGCCTGCCTCTGCCTCCCGAGTGCTGGGATTAAAGGCGTGCGCCACCAACGCCCTTTATTGTGGGCTAAATCATGCTCTCTCAAAACTCACAGGCTGAAACCGTAACCCACAGGATCTCAAAATATGACTACAAAAATCGTTAGGTTAAAAATAGGTGATGACGATGTGATGCGGCCTGACAGTTGGACACACATACAGACAGACAGACAGACACCTGTCACGTGCACACACAGAGGAAAGATAGAAGTTGATCATCTGAGAGCCAAAGGGAGACCTCAGGAGAAACTAATCCTGCCAACCCTGAGCTCTTGGACCTCTAGATTCTAGAACTGTGAGGGAATGCCCTCATGTCATTTCAGCTGTCTTGTCTGCGTAGCACGTTCCGGAAGCTCAGTCTACCCTCTCTCTAAGCGGTCCTCCAGCTTCATTGCTTTGAAGTTGTTTGCTGTTTGGACCAGCACTGAATGATGTCCCCTTACACCCTAGATCCCCCATCGACTCCCTTCCACACTGATATTACGTCTCTGGGATGCTTATGTTAAAGTTTGGTGTTGGTAAGAACGGGAAGAAAGGCTCTATTCTTTACTTCTTCATCCCAAGAATATTCACTACCTTTTCTTTTATGTCATTAAGAATAGAATTGTAGGGCTGGAGAGATGGCTCAGTGGCTAAGAGCTCTGGCTGCTCTTCCAGAGGTCCTGAGTTCAATTCCCAGCAAATGCATGGTGGCTCACAACCATCTGTAGTAGGATCTGATGCCCTCTTCTGACATGCAGGTGTACATGCATATAAAACTGTCAAATATATAAAATACATAAGTAAAAATTGTAAAGAGGATTGTAGAAAGATCCCAAGAAAAGCAGGAGAGGGGCATGCGTGTAGGTTGCTGGGCTCAGAATATGGAGAGGCTCACAACTCCAGGGACTTTCTGAGTATCATTAACCCGAGAGTCCCTTGTTTTCTGCAACAAAGGACTCCGCCTTGTCAGTCAAAGGACATTTTAATGCTGCCTGATTTTGGTCTGCCCTGGCCATTCCATTATGTCAGGATGAGTGCTTCTCTCTCCAAGTTCTAAAGAACTGAAGAACCCTGTGACCCCCTCCCCCCAGCTTCCATATGGTGCTGCTGACCTTCCTTCACCCCAGAACATTAGCTCACAAGACTAGACCTGACAAACCTTCCTCTCCCACATCAGCTGGATAAACAGGAGGTAAATCCAGGGAATCCTTAAATGTCCATGGCAAAAGGAAGGAAGGGGGAGAAAAAAAAAACTCTGTTTCACCTAACAGACTTATTTTATTTTCTCTAGTTTTTTTTTAAAAAATTGAAAATGAATTTCCCCCCTATATGTTCTGATCATGGTTTTCCTTCCCCTATACATTCTCTATGGGGGGAAAAAACCCCAACAACAAATAAGAACAAAAACTAAACCAAACCACCTCATATTATCTAAGTTGGAAAGAGCACTGTTATGAAAATAGAAAAAATATTTTTAAAAAACAATGGCAACAACAAAAAACAAAATCCAAGACACCAAAGAAGATAGTAGCAGTCAATATTCATTGTCTGTCAGGGTCTAGACTCGCCCGAGAAGCCCCCCCGGGGCGTGTTTCCAGCTTGGGTCGAGTGAGGAGGAGCCCCACTGAGTGTCAGAGGCTGACACTCCGCAGTCTGCCCAGACGGGGGAGGGCGATGGAGCACCAGCACACTTCACCCCGCTTTCTGACGGCTCACTCCGTGTGGCCACACCCACTTGCTGCGGCGCCTTCCCTGCGCCATAGACCGTGTCTCTGAAGCCTTTCCCCCACACATTGCTTTTTATTAGGTCGCGGTCACGAGGAAAGTGAGCAACACAGTAGGCACGCCGGTTGGTCACACTTGTAATCTCAGTACGCTCAAGAGCTCTTGACTAGTCCTAGCTGTGCTCTTCCCAGAGCTGGGGAAAAGAAAGACTAAGGAAGGAAGGAATGAGCCGCAATCCCAGCACTTGCCAAGCGGAGCCAGGGGATCAGGAACTCAAGCCCAGCTTCATCGCCAGAGTGTGTTCTAGACCACCCTGAGGTACGTGGGACCCTGTCTTAAGAGAGGAGGGCTGGAGGAATGAGATCAAATTTAACCCTGAACAAACAGAAGAAACTAATAAAAGTCAGCATCGCAATCAAGGAAAGAAAACAAAACCATATTTTTTTTAAGATCTATTTTATGCGCATGGATGGTTTGCCTGCATGTACGTCATATGTCTGGGCACCGTGGACGTGTCTGGCACTCTTGGAGGTCAGAAAAGGGTGACAGACCCCTTGGAGCTGGAGTTGTAGATGATTGTGAACTGTCATGTGGGTGCTGGAAATTGAACCTAGGTCCTCTTGAAGAGCAGCCAGGGGCTCTTAACCCTGAGCCGTCTCTCCAGCTCCAAACAATAAATTTAATAACACTAATGGCTCAGGGTTGCGAAGGAGGCGTAGATGGAGGCCTCTCTGCCACTGAGGCCTTTTGTTTCAAACATGAGAGGCCCTACGTCCCACGTGCGCTTGGAGAGGAACTGTTACACCTCGGGAACCTGGAAGGTTTTACCATAGGGTTACCTGTATTCGGTCCCCTAGGACACTCCTTTATTCAGAATCTGACAATTTCCCAGCACCAGCCCTTAACAGATGTGTTCTCCCTGCCACACGATACTGCTGGTCCTGGCCAGGGTCACCCCAGGTGGCTCAGAGGCACAAATTTCTCACACCCAGGGCTAGAGGAGCCAGTCTATGTTTGGATAACATGAAGCTGATGTGGATATCTGGAATAAGTCAGCTAAAACAAGGCACACAATGGATATGGGGGGGAGGGGCTATAAAGCAATACAAAGCAGGGTTCTGGGGAGCCTCAAAGTAAACAATGATGTAATGTGTTAATAACTATTTTGAGGGTGTGGCTGGCCCCTTTGCGTGGTAGCTGTGATAAAGCAGCTTGAGAGGGAGGGGGTTTATCCTATTTATAGCTTGCAATCAGTTCTCCAGGGCAGTCAGGGCAGGAACTCAAGGCTGGGACCTGATAGAGAGCTCATGAAGGGCTTTGTCCTCACGGCTTCCTCAGCCTGCCTTCTGATCGCATCCAGGCCACCCAGCCAGGGGTGGCCTTGCCCACAGTGAGCTGGGCCCTTCCACGTCAACTGTCAATCAGGAAAAGGCTTCAAGTCAGTGTAGTGCCGTACACCTTTGATCCCAGCATTTGGAAGGCAGAAGCAGGCAAATCTCTGTAAGTCTGAAGTCATCCTGTTTTTCATAGAGGGTTCCAGGGCACACAGGACTACATAGTAAAATAAAAGCTTAAAGTAAAATAAAATAAAATAAAGTAAAAGGCAACACGGGCTTTTCATAGACCAATCTTGTGGGAGCATTTTCTCAACTGAAGTCGTAGTTTAAATAAGAATGGCCCCATAGGCTCGTATATTTGAACGCTTAGTCATCAGGGAACAGGATTAGGAGGTGTGGCCTTATTGGAGGAAGTGTGTCACTGGGTTTGAGCTCTGAGATTTCAAAAGATCATGCCAAGCCCAGAGTCTTTTCCTGCTGTCTGAAGGTCTGGATGTAGAATTCTCAGCTCCCTTTCCAGCACCACGTGGACCTGCTGCCGCCATGCTCCTGCTGTGAGGATGAGGGACTAAGCCTCTTCAAGCTCTCATTAAATGCTTTCTCTTATAAAAAAAAATTGTCTGGGAGCTGGGGAGATGGCTCAGAGGTTAAGAGCACTGATTGCTCTTCCAGAGTTCCTGAGTTCAAGTCCCAGGAACCACATGGTGGCTCACAGCCATCTATAATGAGATCTGGTGCCCTCTTCTGGCGTACAGACAGACATGCAGGCAGAACACCGTGCACATAACAAGCATACCTTTAAAAGAGTGTTACCTAGTCTACGAATAATTACTAAAAGAAAAGACATGCTCATGGAGTCTCTTCACAGCAACAGAGCACTGACTACGACTACTGTGTAAATGTAAATGTAAATATGGCCTTGAGGTCAAGGGTCTGAGCCTGGAGCCTCCCCTTTGGGTCCGTGTGGCTTGTGCACAGCCTGCCCACCCCTGGTGCCTCCTAGTGGCACCTCCATGGCAGCTTTACCGGCTGGAGTGAAAAAATGGCTGACAGTCCAGTGACCCCCTCCTCCTCCTCTGGTGTGGGACCATGAACCCTCACAGGGCAGGAAGGAAGAGACTGGGTAAGAGTGGGAATAAGAGAAGACAACAGGGAGTGAAATGACTGTTATTGCCAAAGTTGGTTTTTGTTTTTAACTTAATAAAAAGAGTTGAGGGGTTGGAGAGATTGGCTCAGTGATTAAGAACATTGGCTGCTCTTCCAGAGGTCCCGAGTTCAGTTCCCAGCAACCACATGGTGGCTCACAACCATCTGTAATGAGACTTGGTGCCCTCTTCTGGCCTGCAGGCAAAACACTGGATACATAATAAATAAATCTTTAAAAAAAATACTTGATAGCCATCCTTGACTATACAGTGGTGTTGAATCCAGTCTGACCAAATCAGACCCTGTCAATCAAAAACCAAAACAAACAAACAAGCCCCAAACCACCATCAAAGAAACAAACCAGCAAAATTCATACTCATTACACTGAAACAGTAAAAATAATTTTATTTCTATGAGCAGAATACAATGAAGCTTGACCCAAAAAACTGCAGAAAAATCGTTCAGCTGCTTGGACCCTCTTTGTCTGTTCCCTACATTCTTCCCTCAAGAGAAATAACCCCAGAGCAGAAAAAAAAACATCCTGTTTCTTCTTTTTGGGGGCACAGGGGAGCTGGTGATGGAAGCCAGGGACCTTTGTGCCCAGGTACTCAGTTATTGAACTACATCACAGCCCCTGCAGCCTCTTAACTCTGCTCTGATAGCTTAAGCTTTCTAAGTCTTCCAATGCCTTCCTTTTTCTGTGGGAACCAAAGACGAAGTGGAAACATTGGTAAACGAACCTGTGTCAAAAAGAAGAAAAGTGCCCTAAGCCTTAGACAATCTCATCTAAGTGCACAGGAACCAGCTGGTAGGGGGGGTCGTCCTTCTTTGGGCGTTCGCAGGCCACAACGAAGAATTTGAGCTTCAGGGCGCTCCGGTAGCGGCAGTCGGGATAGGTTTCCCCGGTGTGCGCACAGTCAATCATGCCGACACGCCTGGCACTCTCGTGGCAGTTCTTTCGCCCGTTCTTGCAGGTGATGTTGGGAAAACCGCAGGCGGCGGCCACATTCTGGAAGGATGCGTGCAGAAAGGTGTTTTTCTGCTTGCAGTGCTGGGTGTAATTGTTGACACCGCGCATTGCCGTGTTGCACTGCTGAGGGCTTATCTGTATGTGCTGAATTTCAAACCAGCGCGCCTTGGTGAGACCCTTAGGCTGAGTGCCAAGCAGACACACTGGCGCCCACAGCCCCAGCAGCAAGAGGAGAGGAGAGCATCGGCGAAGGCCTACAGCCATTTTTTTCTATATGGGAATAGAAGAAGCAATAAGAACAATTATATTTACCATGATTAGTTTGCTGTTTGAATTTTATTCTTCCTTTTAAGATTTCACAGGTCTTAAAAAAGAAAGCCAGTGTCGCAATGCTATGAGAACCCTGAAATCCAGTGAGGAAGACGGGAGATGTGCACGCTGCCCTGTCTCGCACGTCTCGTCCTCTTTGATCCGTGTCAAAGCATTGCGCACGAACACGGGGCTTCCCCCTGCAATCGCTTCTAACATGATGACCTCCCCTCTCCAGCCAGTATTTCCCAGGCGCTCCCCCACCTGGCAGGGCTGGGAAGCGCCTCTCTTACCAGGTGTTTCTGCTGGGTTCCCACCCACCGCTCAGGCAGTTGATCAATCCCAGGTTCTGAATGTTTGGAAGCTTTTCATCTTCAAGGCAGTCACAGCTGCCTCGGAGGGGCAGGGCGAGAAGTATTCTTAAGCCCAGGAAAGAGAAACCATAGATTTTGCAGAAGTACCGTGGGAGTTGGACTCCACCTCCAAGTAAGAGCTTTCAGAGTGAAAAGGAAGCAAAACTTCAAACACAAGAAGCAAGAAGGCTCAAAGCTCAGCTTTAAGGACCTGATCTCTTGCTAAGGGGTTGGAACTTCCTTTTCAGCTGGAGTTTCAGGCTTTTTGAAGCTCTTTGATTTCAGTTTCTTAACAAAAAAAAATATACATATAAATACAAAATATAAAAACACAAAAATATACATCTACAAATATGTGTATTTGTACAATAGTTACCACGTACTTGGCAATGTGAATTCCTGCAGATACACACGAATAAATCACTTGTTTGTACATATGTCTATGGGGCCAGATTCTAGGCTACGTATCATATTGAGGAGTTTACAAGTTTACAGTTTAATGAAAGACAGTCAGGAAAATAAATAAGCGGGTTACAAATTGATAACTATGCATAGCATTCTGTGGGGGCCCAAATATGATATTTCGATATAAGCCTCAGCTCAATTCCAGACACTCGAGTCTCCTATTGTCTTTTAGATGTCAACTGGTTACTTCCGGATGGCCTGGCCACAGTGGAGAATGACTTCTAGTGTGCGTAGCAATAGACCTAGGCCCCACACCCATCATGAGGGCCAGTGAGACAGACCCAAAGACTCATGAGCTGTTCATTACAGCAAGACATGCATTACGGGAGGTCTGAGGGCTTGTGTACGTGCATTCTAGGACCATTTCTAGGGTTAAAGGTTTTCTAGTCAGCCTTATACACATGATAATAGACGTCTTCTGCCCATACCCCGGCTTTTAGAAAGCTATTTAAGAGGATGCTTGAATAAACCCGTGTCTGCAGTATGGGCTGAAATGACAAGATGACTCTGTCTTGTTCTTGACGCCGTTGGGTAGCCAGGACTTCCCTGATCCACACTCCCCCGCTCAGGGTGGAACCCGGGGCTGTTGGGCTGGTTCGGAACACAGCCCCAAAGACATCAGTCTGGGATAGATGGCCCCTGCAGCGTAGGACTGATACAGGCCGGACCCCGGCAGCATTCCCAGTGTGATTCCCACCAAAGGGGACACGAGTTACTGAAAGACACTCACCCAAGGCATAATTAGATGAGCAGAGTGGTGCGGACCTTTAAAGGGAGAACTGTGTGTGAAAAGACGTGAGAACACAAGGAGAGAAAACGTAGAATACTTGCTTTCGACTCTTTTCTGCTCACCACTGACATGAAGAAAGACAGGAAGGCTGCCCCGCTTCGTGTCATGGAAGCCTTCCACTGGGCCTCCCTGCCTCTGGCCGTAGGTCTGTCTAATCAGTCCTGTATATTTTCCCAGATTAGTATCGTTCCGATAGCACACTTTCGTGGAGGTGCTTTTTGTTTGCTTGTTTTCAGACGGTGTCATGGTGTGTGCCCAGGCTTGCCTGGAGCTCAGGATCCTCCTGCATCCTCCTCCTGAGTGCTGGGAGACAGGTGTATACCACCCTGCTCCCTTTGACTAAGCACCACAGAGCAGCGGGGTTTAACCACTGTGGTTTGAGCATTTCCCCATAGGCTTGAGTGTTTGAATCTGGGCCCCAGCTGGTGGGACTGCTTGGGAGAGCCATGGAACCTTCAGGAGGTGGAGATTCGCTAGAGGAAGTGGGTCGGTGTGAGTGGGGCTTGAGGTTCACACACAGCCCATTTCTTGTTGCTCTGTGGCTCCTGACGAAGATAATTATAACTAGACTACTCCTGCCCATTGTGCCCCCCTCCCGACAAAATGACTTAAGCTGCGAGCTAAAGTAAACCCTTCCTCTATTAAATTGATTCTTCTTGGGTTTTAGTCACAGAAACAAGGCAAGTAACTAATGATATCTGTAGTCATGATTACTCAAAGAAAACTTGCTTTAAAATGCTTTAAAGAGACTGGAGAAATGGTCCAGTGGTCAGGAGGGCGTGCTGCTTTGCAGAGGACCTGAGTTCAGTTCCCAGTACTTTATCAGGTAGTTCACAACCTCCTGTAACTCCATCTCCATGAAGAACCTGATGTCTTTGGCTTCTTTGAATAATAACATTCATGTGTCTCCCTGACCCCATACACGCCTTTAGAAAGTCTTTAAAAATAGCTTTTAAGCTTAGTTTTTTTCTTTGACAATGCCATAAACACACACACACACTACATTCTGATCACACTCATGCCTCCACCCTCTCTTTTTTAAACTCACTATTTAGTGTATGTTTTTGCACACATGTACACACACACATGCGTGTGCACGGGTTTGTGCCACGGTGCATTTGTGGAGATCAGAGGCCAATTTGTAAGAGCTGGTTTTCCCCCTCTATTTTGTAGCTCCCCAGGAGTCACCCAGATAACCCGGCTTGATGGTAAACTCCTGTATCTGTGGAAACATCTCAGTAGCCCCTCTTTACTCCCGCCATCTCCCCCTTCCCACCACCAGGCCCTTCCGCATGAGCCCTTCAAATTTGGTTTTGTTTGAACTCTGTAATGCCTGAATGCTCATGTGGGGGTGGGTATGAAGTTATCTGCTGGAGCATGAGTGACTCACAATGACTACATCCACTGAAGACAACGCCTTCTCCAGCAAGCCATCAATTATGATCAGCTCCCTTGAGCCTCTCCCCATCTGCGCCTGAATGTTTATGGGCTCAGTCTTAGGCAGCCCTTATCAAGCAAGCAGCCATGGATGTTGTGAGTTCAGGCATGCCATGGCCTAGTTGCGTCTGTAAGACGGCATTACATGGTCATCATCATCATCATCACCATCATCATCAGCACCACCATCATCACCCAGCTGTCACATTCATTTCTCCCCACTCTCTCTTGATGGTTTCTGAGCCTTGCAGAGGATGATATAGGTGGTCCAGCACTTGATGACACCTTGACCGACCTTGAGTCTCCATTAATTGTCATTGGATGTGATTTTGTCTTTCTCCAGGAGCTTACAACACACTTTCTTTGTTCTGTATGTTCTGTGTTTCAACCATGATGTACTGACTCCGCCCTTCTTCATCCCTGAATCCTCAGTTTGACTGTCTCTCCTAACTTTATCCTGCCTTGCTACAGGTCAATTAACTTCTTAATTAACCAGTGAGAGTAATGCGTATTCACAGTATGCGAAGGATTGTGCCACAGCAGCCCCCTTCAAGATGGAAGAGGACTAGAACCGGGAGTCCTCTAACTGGACTCTGAGTCGGATGTTCTATGGGCTGTTTTCCCTATTGGTCCTGCTTAGACACCCACCCCACCCTTCTCATCATCTCTCCTCACAGTATCTTCCAGGAACAGGAAATCATTGCGGCAGGGAGCCTGCTCTCACTTTCCTAGTCTACCTGAGGGGCTATGAGCGAGATTCCCTGCTAGGCAGACAGAGGAGGAGAGGGGCCGTGATGACAAAGACGGTGAGCTTCAAAGATACTGATGTGAGACCAAAAGCCTAAGGCAGAGGCCGGGAAGGCTTTCTCCCTACAGCAGTGCCCCCACTGATGGAATTGACCTGAGAAGGGTGGGCCAGGACATGTTGGCCCCAAAGTTGCAAGCCTATCCGCTACGCTCTCTTTAATCAAACTGACCTAAGTTAGGGAAGGAGGGCCCCCCAGTCCCTTCAAAGCCCCAGTCCTCGAGGAGAGGCTGAACCTCCAGGTTCCTAAGTGCCCTCTCTGCTTTGCAGTAGATCTTTCCTCTGTGAGTCTGTTGTGCATGCTTACCTGTGTTCCCTCACCCCGAACAAAAGCCTTTCCTGACCCTGTGACCCTGTCTTCTCTAGCTGAAGATCTCACTGCTCTTATCTGTTGCAGGGGAAATTTTTCCCCCAGCCTTTCAATTCAGAGAAAATGAACCCGATCCAGACAGTGACATGTCTATGTTCCCGTCTTTCATCCCCTGGAGGCTTTCTTTGACTTACTTAGTATTTTCTTTTCATAATCATTTCAGTTTGGGGGTTTTGTTCAGTATTATTGGCTCTTTTCTGAATTACGGTTTCATATCCCAAATTTGACTTCTTTTTTTGTTTGTTTGTTTTTTGTTTTAAAGATTTATTTATTATGTATACAGTATTCTGCCTGCATGTATGCCTGCAGGCCAGAAGAGGGCACCAGATCTCATTATAGACCTTTGCGAGCCACCATATGGCTTCTGGGAATTGTTGCCCTTAACCTCTGAGCCATCTGTCCAGCCCATCTGGTCAAATTTAACTTCTTTGTGTCGTTCAGATATCCGTATTCTCCCAGAATTCATCCAGGAAGAAGGAGCATGTCTTTGCTGAGTAGAGCCGCTCCTCAGGCAGCCAGGAGGCTTGGACCTGCCTCGTCCTGTTGCTACCTTACTAGGACAATGTCACTGCTTGGCCAGCAGGCTGACGCACAGCATGGCGCTGTTGCTACTGCTACTTCAGGGGTACAGGACCAAGGGCAGAGTGGTGTACAGTAGCCTGGAGCTTTCCCAGGTTCTGCCCTTGGACACACTGCTCAACCACAAGATCCTGACTCTGAGCAGCAACAAGGTATCCCAGATGCAGAATGCTTCACTTTCTGGGTTGTCCTTCAGAAGACGGCGGTGACCAATGCTGCAGCCAGAGACCATGATGGCGTTCGTTCACGATCTGTGCTGTCACAGAAGCCACACTGACGTCCTTAATCTGTATTGCTGTTAGAAACCGTGTTGATGTCTGTGATCCAGGCTGCCACCAGCTTCTGTGGATAGGGGAGGCATCTTTTGCAGTCGTATTGAAGACTGCACACTCAGAAACTGAAAATGAGTCATGTTTAAGGCTGGTGTGACAACCCCCCCTACACACACACACCAAAAAGAAACAATGTAGACATGAAGCTACTGAAGAGAGTCCTTAAAATTGTGATAAAGATGCTGAAGGATAGCTCTTCACAGTTGATGGCTTCTGCATGTGTACACACACACACACACACACTGGGGGTGGGGGGCACAATGCTAAACTCTCTTCTTTAAGGGGCTGACCACCGGGAGTTTGATCATGCTCCAATGAGTGTGTGGACAGCACAGATTGCACTTGGTTTTTCTCTGGGGGAGGGCACAAGTGTGGGAAGGTGAACCAGGAAGGAATGGACTGTGATCAGCGTGAATTGTATGAAATTCCCAAATAATTAATAAGAGCATTATGTTGGGGAAGAAAATAATTCACTCCGGAGTTTGTGTCTTCTTTGAGCATGTTTTAGTTGTTTTGAATTTTTGGTCTGGATTTTCATTTAAGTTCTTAGAGGTTCCTGGATGTTAGAAGTTTTTGGATCATGCCAGACAGTGGTAGTGCACACCTTTAATCCCAGCATTTAGGAGGCAGAGGCAGAGGCAGGTGAATCTCAGTGAGTTCAAGAGCAGCCTAGTCTAAAAAGTGAGTTCCAGGACAGCCAGGGCTGTTACACAAAGAAACCCTGTCTTGAAAACAAAACAACAACAGAAGAAAAAAAAGAAGAAAGAAAAGGAGACCCTGTTGTCATGGATTTCCATGTTAAATTGTGTTTCTCACTGAGCTCTTCCGGTTTGGGGTTAGATTGTTGGTTATATTTTTGGTGTTTTAGCTCAGGTAGCCTTCTTCCTCTCAGAGAAGGTGCTTCCAAGTTCAGGAGAGTCTAGGCTGTGGGATTGTTGAGGTGTTGGTTTCCTTTTAAGCTGGTGGGTAAGGCTCTTTCCCCAGACCTTGCGGCTTGAGAACTGTTTCCAACAAGAATCACTGCAGTAGACCCACCTTGAAACTGGGTAAGTGATTGCTTCCACACAGTTACTCCTTCAGTACCAAGTGTCCTTGGCAAGTAAGGAACATTAAATATTAGCCTTTTTGTCAAACACCGTAAAGCTTTTGTGTATGCCAAGGAGTTTAAATCTTTTGCTCTCCCCTACCCGGTAAAACTACTGTTTATACAAAGACCCTGCTGGACTCTCGGATCTTGAGATGTCTGTCCATACTTGCTTCCCTTTGTTTCCTTTTCAGACTAAGCAACCATGGAAGGCTGAGGCTGGAGCTCAGCCAGCGGGACAAGGACAAGCCTCTCTTGCGTTAAGATGAAAGCACGTGAGTCTCTTACTCAGCCGGTTTGCTCTCCCACTTCGGTGAGCAGCTCCGCCTTGTACAAGGCTTCCGTTGGGTTGGTGACGCTTTCTTTTGGACCCTAGGCTGGCTTCTAACTGTGTGTGCTAGTCTCTTTGTTCCTGCAGATCTGACCGGGGAAAATAAAGAAAAAGCAGCAAGAAATCACGGCGGGATCAATGATTAGTATTAGGTTGTTAGATAGGAAGCAGAAAAAGGGTATGTCCCTAGAGGGGTACGGAGGGGTACGGGCAAAAAGAAATCGTGAGGGAGTCTTAGTCAAAGATTGAAAGACAGGGGTGAAGATACACCTTCAGACACTGTAGACCAGTGTCGTCCCTCGGAAGTTGAGTCATCAAGGCCCTACATACCAGGATAGGTGGAAGGAAAAGAAAGAGTTTGGGGTAAAGAGAAGGAAAAAAAGACACAAACCTTATGATGGGCTAGGGGCGGACAGATCCCTGTCAGACAGACAAGGAAAGGGACCACTGCTAGACAGCAAAGAAAGCAAGGGCCCAACTTCTTCCTGTCTTCTCTGATCCGAGGCCAAGTCCCCCAAGGCATGTTCTCCCCACGCTGGGACCCCTTACAGATGACTGGTCAGACCCCGTCAAGGCCGGTGCTAAACATGTACCCGAGGCTATGCAGCTCTCCTTTCTTTGTTTCAACTGATTAATGAAAAACCGAGGGGAAAGTGTGGGACGGACACACACACACACACACACACACACACACACACACACACACGCACGCACGCACGCACGCACGCACGCACGCGTTAGAAAAAAGTAACAAAAGCCAAGTCACACCTGAGAACTGAGAACCCCGTAGTTAATCCTTCAGCGTTCAGAGCAGTCCACACAGCTGTCTCTCACTGAGGAAGGGGAAGGGTTAACAACCAGTAACTACTCAGTCCATAGGACCGCAGAAGTCCCAGTCTGGTGCTGGGAGTTCAAAAGGTTCCTGGAGAGCAGCTGGTCCCTGGTTCACTAGGGAAGCTTGGGAATTCTGGTTCCTTTTTTGGGGGGGCGGGAATTCTGGTTCTTATAGCAGTGAAGACACAACAGGGCAAATTAGTTCAGCAGAGAGAGCAAGGGCCAGTCGAGGGGGCCGTCGAGCGGGAAGTGAGAGCTGCTTTTGGCCGTTTCCCTTCTATCTGAGCTGCTATCAGAAGATGTCACCCACAGTCCGGAAGAGTCCTCCACATCCACAGGGCGGTCAGGACGCTTCCTTCAGAGAGGCTTCTAGTTCAGGTGATTCTAGTGTGTGGCAAGTTGACATTAAAACAACCATAATAGAGGATGATCCATCCAAGGCCATCAGAGCCACTTAAAACCCCAGGGCCTCCAGAGGACAATGGACCTGCCCCCCTCTGCTCTTCAGGGAGTTTTTCTTTCTGGGCCCCTCCCCACCTTTTAATAAAGTTTGTTGTTGCCTATGGCTGCCTGCTGTGTCTGAGATTTTTTTGTTTTGTTTGTTTGTTTTTGTTTTTGTTTTTCAAGACAGGGTTTCTCTGTATTGTTTTGGAGGCTGTCCTGAAACTCGCTTTGTAGACCAGGCTGGCCTCGAACTCACAGACATCCGCCCGCCTCTGCCTCCTGAGTGCTGGGATTAAAGGTGTGCACCACCAACACCTGGCTGTGTCTGAGATTTTTATGACAACGTGACACAAGCTAGCGTTATCTGAAAGGATGAAATCTTAATTGAAAAAAAAGTCTCCATGAGATGTGGCTGTAGGACATTTTCTTAATTAGTGATTGATGGGGGAGGCCCAGCCTACTGTAGGTGGTCCCACCCCTGGGCTGTGGTCCTGGGTTCTGTAAGAAAGCAGGCTGAGCAAGCTATAGGGAGCAAACCAGTAAGCAGCACCTCTCCATGACTTCTGCATCAGCTCCTGCCTCCAGGTTCCCACCCCGCTTGCGTTCCTGTCCTGACTCCTCCAGTGATGAACAGTGATATGGAGGTGTGAGTCAAATGAACCCTTTCCTCCCCGGCTTGCTTTTGTACATCACAGCCACGGTAACCCCAACTAAGACAGGAGTCGGCGTGGCCCTAGAGCTGGAGTCGAGGATGGCTGTAAACACACACACACACACACACACACACACACACACACACACACACACACACACACACACACACACCCCGCCATGGGTGCTGAGATCTGCGCTTCGGTGCTCTGGGAGTGCTCTTCTCTACCAAGCCATCTCTCTAGAACCCTAATATCTGTTTTATGTTACACATCTTCTACAACTAGGGAGACCAGATGACTGGAACACGTTTCATGCATGTTTTATCAAAGTCTAAATTAAAATCCTAAATCAAAGGGTAAGAAAGGAAAAACAAAACAAAATATCCCTACAAACTTCCTGGGTCACCTGTTATGAACCAGAGACTTACCATATTATTTGACTGAACACATTAGTTATCTGTTTCCTTCTTCTCTGATTTCCCATTTGGGTAGAGCTAAAGATGACAATTCTATTGGGGGGGGTCAGAGAGGAGGCTTACAGCAGGCAGAGTAGGGGCTTTGCTAAAAAGTTCTGATCTGAGGGCCAAAAGGAAATAAACCGACACCTCTCTCTCTCTCTCTCTCTCTCTCTCTCTCTCTCTCTCTCTTATGGCTCTTTATTCTTCAAGAATGGAGGCTTCCCAAAAGTTCTCTCTCAAAAGCTCTCTTTAACATTTCTCTCTAACAGCTCTCTCTTTAAAAGTTCTTTCTCTAAAAGCTCTCTTAAAGTTCTCTCTAAAAGTTCTCCTTAAAAATTCTCTGAAGTTCTTTCTAAAAAGCCTCTAAAAGTTCCTTCTAAAAGTTCTCCAAAAGTTCCTTCTTCTAAAGTTCTCTGGATCCCACAAGGCCTCTAGTTTTTATATCCACATTTAGCAACTCTCTGACAATAGGGCAGGCATATCTCTCAGAGCCAGGAAGGCTGATAGGATCTTGAGAAAAGCACGTGTGTCAGGTCTCTCTCCTGGATGTGATTTGCAAAACCCAAGTCCTGGCAAACCTAAGTCTCAGGGAGGTCGTGACTTGCAACTCGGTACTGTTAACTCACTAAAGGTGACTTCTCAGCACTATATCAAAGGGAAAAACTAAGGCTGTGTAATGTGAAATCCAGAGGCTGCGGCTCTAACTGCTGACCCGGTGAGAAGAATTTCTTTTCTCTGGGGCCTATTTGAGAATACAAATCACCCCAGTATATAGCCTATACAAAGCCAAATTCATAGTAACAAATAACCTGGAGTCAATACCTAGAATATTAATTGCTACTTCTGTAATAAATGATAAAGGCTTGCAGCACACTACAATCCCTGTCCAAGTCAAGACTTGTCTTTGCCTTACTGGCACACAGGTATATCCATGTGTAAGAAGGTACATCCATAAAATTCACTTTGAGCCAGAGTGTAAGATATTCACATATAATGTGTCACCACACTGCTCACACCAATGCACAACACGAACTCTACGCACACAACACGTGTATATATATGACGCACAGTGGAATAGCAATTTTTTTTTTTTTTTGTGGAAGGGATGACCATTCAGTCTGGATAGGCGGAAAGATGAAGACATCAGGAAAGAGAAAGAAAACCCCGAATGAGTCAAGAGAGGATGATCCCTGTGGTTTGGCTGTCCAATGACCTCCCGGGCTCCTGTGTTGAAGGCTTACTTGACGGATGGCTCACGAAGGCTGTCACTTACTTTGGCAGTGACTAACCCACTGATGAGTTCACAGCTGAGAGGGTCTGAGGGTCCAGTTGGAGGAGACAGGCCACTGGGGGGCCACAACTGTCACACCTCGTCCCCATACCCTTCGCCCTCCGTCTCCTTTGGCCTCTCAGCCCCTGCGAAGTGAGCATCCCCTCTCCCCCACATTCCCCGCCTCACTCTCCCAGGAGGACAGCAGAGCCTCAGTCAGTCCCAGACTGAAAGCCCTGAGACCAGGAGGCGAATCAATCCTCCTGAACGGTGTCCCTCAGACATCGTCCCAACTACAGAAAATGTGTGAGTCATTAAAAAAAAACAAAATGTGAAGGAAAGCAGGTAGACAAGGGAGGAATGTTATTCTAGGCAGGGAGCAACACAAGCGCGATCGTAAGACCGGGAATCCTTGGGAAACGCTGGCATGTAACCGCACGGGAAGCAGGGGCCGACACTGGAGAACCGGCGGCTTTCCCGGAGCTGGCCGGACCTTCTAGGCTAAGATGGGCTCCAGAAGCTTCATGTCCTCTATGCTGTCGACATAGCCGTCTGCGTTACAGTGGAACTGGACATAGTTGTAGCTCCTCCTCTCTACGTATTTACTTTTGAAATTCTCCCAGTGGCACGTGAGCACCTTAATGGGAGTCTGAGCCCACACGTACGAATTTTTGTAGCGGTCTTTCCAGTTGCCGCTAATGCATATGTGCTCAACTTTGTACCATGCCATGTAAACAAACCAGTGTGAGATCTTGGGCTTCAGACCCTTTTCTGTCATGAGGACATCGCAGCTGTAGTCACTGAATTCTTTGTGTGAACTTAGGTGATGGTGTTCCATGAACTCTCTCCTGGAAGTGCTCTGTGCCAGCAAGCTGTAATGCAGGCACAGCAGGGACACAAGCAGACCCCAGGCCTTTAGAGAGGACGCCATAGCAGCCACCGGGGCCACCTAAGCGAGCGCGGGAAAGAAAGGAGAAAGTGTTGACATACTAACCTGTAGGCTGAGTCCCACACACTTTAAATTTCTCTTCTCTCTCTCTCTCTCTCTCTCTCTCTCTCTCTCTCTCTCTCTCTCTCTCTCTCTCTCTCTCTCTCTCTCTCTCTCTCTCCCCCCTCTCTCTCTCTCTTCAAGACAGGGTTTCTCTGTGTAGCTTTGTAGACCAGGCTGGCCTTGAACTCACAGAGATCTGCTTGCTTCTGTCTCCCGAGTGCTGGGATTAAAGGTGTGCGCCACCACTGCCTGGCTCCTACTCCAAATTTCTATTCCTTCATAATTTTGTTTCCTAGAGATATCCCTCATTAGATAGTAAAATTAATTGCAAATAAAAAATATGTTGCGGACTGAGTGAACCAAGAATAAAATTGCAAAAGGAAGACGTATTTTGAAAACTCCAAGTTCCACTTATATGACCTCACTTCTATGCATTGGAAGGAACCATCTCTCTCTCACCAGCTCTAGCTAACCCTTCAGCGCTCAGAAGCTCGTGTGTCCAAAAGACTTGTCATCAGGGTTGAAAGACTAATCCCCATTGAGGGGAATAGAGAGAGTAACTGCTTGGGAGTTATTGCCAAGCAGGAAGGCTTCGAGTCCCTGAAGGTGTAGCCCAGGCTGCTTGTCGTGCTGATTGCACCATGATGCCTCTCCTGTCTTGACCCCCTTACAACATTTCCCCAAAACCTCATGGAAAGGCACTTCTAAACTCTCACATCTTTTCTCAAGAACCATATCCCTGTGTCATTCCAAACCACCACGATTTGCCAGAGCTACCTTTTGAGCACTCCTAAGGGTACAGAAGGTCTGAAATGGTGTTTCAATTCACCAGATACCAAGACTAAAACCAGCTTTGCAGGAGTGACTCTGGACGGAAGACAGAGACCAGTGTGTGGAAAGACTTCCGTTTAAACAGAGTCCACTCTCACTTACACGAACATAAACGGCCCTGGTGAGTCTGTCATCTTACTCACAGCCCTGACCTCATATGGGCCTGACAGACCTTTGGGAGCCAACAGGGGACACTTCGGTAGGGTGGGGTAGGGTGGAAGCCACAGCTGTTGGGGTAATGCTAAACTGAATTCGAGGTTTTGTTTTCATCCTTAACCCTAAAATGTCAGCCGGTCTCTGTCCTACGTTCCTGGCCTTTCAATCAAGTTTCCTAACCACAAATCCTTCTAACTCACCTAGTCAGTGCCCCAGTCGCTGGTTGCTGTGGGTACAGAGATATGGGGATCTGAAGAGCACTCTTCGTCCTTTCTGGAACGTCCAAGCAGTCCACAGCAATAGAAAAGAGAATGACGAGAGAAAGTATAGCGCCCTGGGCTTGTGGGAGGGCAGGGACAGGAACATCTTTCTATGTGAGCCTGTCCCTGGATCTTCTCAAGTGGAACACTTAGGTTCACCCTGAGAATAGCCTCAAGCGAGGTCTGCAAACATCAAAGGAGGGTGCCCAGGTACAAAGGAAGAGAGAGTGAGCCCGGGGAGGGGTTGTGGGTGGACAGCCAGAAATGCTGCCCCGAAACATGTTCCCCTGACAAGCTTTCTGGGGACAGCCCACGAATGGCTAGGCCGTATTCTATAGGGAGTCTGGCAAGAATGTGATCTGTGGTGACATCACCAAGAAGTAAGAGGACATTAGCCAAAAGTGCCACCTGTGGATAAGTGGTGTGGAGATAACGGGGCGTGCTTTCTACCAGTGACACCAGGGCTGCGGGTGGTCCAGCTGCCCTGGTGGAGTTTCTGTCCAGTTCGCCTTGGCATGAGAGTGTCGGCTTGCATCTGTTTATACTCAGAGCCCATTTCCAAAGCCAGGTGCGGTAGTGTGTGTTGGTAACCTTACCAGGTAGGGAGCTGAAGCAGCAGGCCCAGCTGTTTCAGGACAACAAAGAAACAAAGCTACCCTGTCACAAGCTGAGACAATCCACCAGCTCGTACCTGAAGATGCCAGCTCACGTCAAACATTGCTGGAATAACTGGGAATCCTGCGCTGACCCCTGGGGGTGGGGGGGGGGTGGAGGTTGGGGGTGGCTCCAACCGTATTCTGCAGGTCCTCCTGATCTCTAGCTACTTGAGAGACAGGGAGAGGATACCCAGGGAGAAACCGGAGGCACCTGAGTCTGGATAACTTAGAGATACATCTGAGGAAAAATAACATGGCAATCATATGCACGGATGTCCAGAGCCCTATTCTAACAAGTTTATACAAGCTACTGAAGACATAAATGCGAGTGGTGACTTGATGGAGCAGAGAAAAGGGAAGGACCTGCTGAGAGGTGACAAAAGAAACAAAGGAAGGAAGGGAAGAGGGAGGGGGGAGGGGGAGGGATAGAGGGGCCTAGGACCTCGAGCACGCTGGGAGAGTGCTCTACTACAGACCTACTTCCCCAACCCAAGCCTTAGTCATTCAAAGCATCTATCTCAGCGTGTATGACAGAGCTTCAGCAAGCCGGAAGAATTCTAAGAGTGAGCCTAAGAGTAAAGTGCTGCACCAATGCCTGTCAGACATAATCAGGGTCACGAGCATTTCTGTCACCTAGACAACCCGGTGTTCATCAAGTAAGCGATAATCCACTTTAAATGTGGAAAAACATTTTCTGTGCAAGCACCCACAAATCCTACTAGGCTCGCTCGGAAGCTAAAACTACAAAGGCCCCTTGGATACGCTGCCATGTTAGGCGCAGCTGGGGAGCAGTACCCTTGTACATAGCTGTAGAAGCTGCTGATGGGGCTCAGGAAGCTAAGGCGACCTTTTTCTGGAAAATTCTTAAAGGGTGTGCGCTTCTCTTTTTGGGGAGGGGTGTGGGGCACACAGGGTTTCTCTGTGTAACAACAGCCCTGGCTGTCCTGGAACTCCCTCTGTAGACCAGGCTGGCCTTGAACTCACAGAGATCCACCTGCTTCTGCCTCCCGAGTGCGGCACCACGACCACCAGGCAGGTGTGTGCTTCTGATAGCTCTATTTTTTTCCTCCAAAAGGTTCTTAGGTTGTGGTTTCTAATTTGAGTTACTGATATTTTCCTTTGACTATAAAGTTTCCGTCATTTCCTAATCACATTCTTTTAAAGTATTAACTCAGTCTGTGAATTCTTTGATATTTCTTCCTATTAGTCAGATAGTGGCCAAGACCTCCTGAAACAACTAGTCTCTAGAAGCCTCCACCTCAGATCCTAACCTAGGATCCCAGGGTTTCCAAGGACACCCACAGTCAAAAGTCCTGGGGCCTGTGAACTGGGCTAGGATGTTGGGAATTTTTTTTTAAATTTTCACTAAGCCACAGTGAGAGACCCCGACTCAACATTTTTAGACCCCTAGCAACTAGCCCATCACAGAGTTACTTGCCCTTCTGCCCTCTCCTGAGAAACCGGTGACCTCAAGATAAACTTAAAAGATAACACTCCCTGATCCAGGAACTAGCTCACCACATTCCAGCTCGATGATGTTTAACTGTACAACGCCCAAAGAATGCTTGCTTGAGATAACCTTCCTGTCAAGACATGAGCTATCATTTAACTTCCCCATCCTTTATGGTGTTTACCTAACTTCCCCATCCTTTATGTTTGCCTAACTCCCCCACTCTTTCTGGCTTTTCCCTTTTAAAAACCCCCGACTGCAGCTACTGGGGGTCGAACTCCTCTGCCCCTGGGAGGGTTACCAGCTCGGCCCCAGTGCACTGGTTCCCCGAATAAACCTCCTGTGCTGGCATCAAGAACGGTCTCTCTTGAATTACTGGGGCATCGCCTTATCCCGAGACTTGAGTGAGGGTCTCCCCTTACTGGGGGTCTTTCAACAGCTGAAATTGAATAATTCCTTTGCTCACTAAGGGGGAGGTGCTGGGTAGAGATTAAGGAGGCTGTCGCTGCAAGCCAGGGAGAATTTTCAACCAGCGTCTCCAGGTGACCTTCTCAGCAGTGATGGAAGCTCAACATTCAGTGGGGTTTTTTGCCACTGAGTGTCTATCTCTGTCGTTTGGCAAACAACAGGCAAAAGCTTACGGAGTACAGAACAGGGGGCTGGAGAGATGGCAGTGATCTCAACTTTCTTAATGCTGCGGCGGCTATTTGATACTCCTGTTGTGATGACCTCCCCCAATCATGAAATTGTTTTCACTGCTACTTCATAACTGTAAGTGTGTTACTGCCATGAATCATAATGTAAATGTATGTTTTCCGATGGTCTTAGGTGACCCCTGTGGAAGGGTCGTTCAACCCCCAAGGGTGTAGAGACCCTCAGGGTGAGAGCCACTGTTGTTGAGGAATGGGATTCAATTGCCAGCACCCAAAGGGCGGCTCACAATTTTCTGTGATTCTAGTCCGAGGAAAACCGACACCCTCTTTTAACCTCTGTGGGCACTAGGTACACACATGATACACATACATACATGCAGACAAAACACTCATGAGCACAGAGTAATAAAATCATTTTCAAAGTGAAAAAAAAGAGAACCAGACAATAAAATGTACTATATTTATATCATTCTTGAGACAGTGTCTCATGCTGTAGCACAGGCCATCCCAGAATTCACTTATGTAGCTCAGGCTGGCCTTGCATCAATCCTCCAGTCTTTACCTTCTGAGTCCTGGGATTATAGGTAGCAGCCACCACACCCAAATCCTCCCCTCACCCCCGCAGCACACCCCAAAAGGAGATTAAAAAGAAAACCCAAACGAAAACAAAAAAGCAAGCAAAAACAAAACAAAATAAGAAAACCTCTTTACTTCCCCATTTTCCCACCTATCTAACACCTCTTAATAAAACCTGGTGGTTGGAGAGATGGCTCTCAGAGGTTAAGAGCACTGCCTGCTCTTCCAGAGGTCCTGAGTTCAATACCCAACAACCACATGGTGGCTCACAACCATCTGTAATGAGATCTGGTGCCCTCCTCTGGCCTGCAGGCACCATGCAGGTAGAACACTGTACACATAATAAATAAATAAATCTTTAAAAAAAAAAAACAACCTGGTAAGCAGCCAACATCTTTACATCAATGTCCAAAGTGCGAAGGAACATGTGTTATTGGAGTGCTAGGCTCAAGGCTTTACTGTCGAGGTCCCAATATGTGAAGTCTGGCTACCAAAACACCAAAGCAAACAGAAAGGTAATGGTGGACTGCATAGACGAGCTTTACCCAGTGTAAGTGTGCTGGTAAAAGATCCTGGCGCCTTTAACCTGTCTCTGCGGGACTAGCAAATGCACTAATATTGTATGGAGGCAAGAAGTATTAAGCAGTTTCTGGCCAGCTATTCTCTCTGGTTGACCAGACACATTGTGTGAGCCTGGGAGATGACGCAGTCAGTAGAAATACTCGTCCTGCAAGCCTGACAGCCTGAGTTTACTCCCTGGGATCCACAGAGAGAAGAGATAACAAACTCCCAAAGTTGTCCTGTGACCTCTTCCTGAGCACCTGCACGCAGACACACACACACAGACACACACACAGACACACACACAGACCACAGACACAGAGAGAGAGAGCAATCTTTTTTTTAAAGGCCATTGGGATAGCCCATCCAGGAAAAGCACTTGTCACACAAGCCTGATTGACGATCGGATCCTTGTCCCACAGTGGAACTGACTCGGAAGGGCTGTGCTCCGACCTCTACATGTGGGCTGTGGCATGCATTGGTGCACACTCGCGCGCACACACAGACTCACACACATAAAATCTGAAAGAAAGCGGAAAGCCGTTACTCTGCTTCTCCATCAGACCTGTTGATCTTGGATTCCATTTGACCACAGAAAACACAGGAAGGACGAGCCACACACCGCCACAAACTTCAGCCTCACTACTCTCCTTTCAGTCACCCACTGGGCACATGCAGTCTCACAACAATGCCAAATGAGGGTGGGAGTGTAGCTCAGTGGCAGTGTCTGTCTGTCATACACAAGGCCCTACCCAGGTTCCAAATCCAGCAACACATTAAAGAAGAAGAAAGAAAAAAACTGGAATGACACAGAAGATTAGCGTGGCCCCTGTGCCGTGATGACAACGCAAATTCATGAAGCGTTACATAGTTAAAGCTGAGCGGTGGTTGTTGGTAAAATGTTTACGTTTATCCAGTAAGGAGACACAGACCGTGTCTCAACGATCCCAGGTGGAGTTTATTGGTAGACAGGGAGGGAAAGGGGGATGAGAGGTAACCGTGGAGAGAGAGAGAGACAGAGAGAGACAGAGAGAGAGAGAGAGACAGAGAGACAGTGAGACAGAGACAGAGAGAGATGAGAGTAAGAGAGTAAGAGAGAGCCGGGCGTTGGTGGCGCACGCCTTTAATCCCAGCACTCGGGAGGCAGAGGCAGGCGGATCTCTGTGAGTTCGAGGCCAGCCTGGTCTACAGAGCGAGTTCCAGGACAGCCTCCAAAGCCACAGAGAAACCCTGTCTCGAAAAACCAAAAAAAAAAAAAGAGAGAGAGAGAGTAAAAGAGAGCATAAGCGGGTAGGGGTCAGTCCTTTAAAGGGTCCTTTGCACCTGCGTGGTTCTCACAGAACTCTGGGATGGCCCGAGTGTTGCCTGAGTGCATCCTGCCAGGTAACAGGGCAGGCCAGCGCAACGCCTGAACCTTTCAATGGTGGCGCACGCCTCTAATTCCAGCACTCGGGAGGCCGAGGCAGATGGAGCTCTAAGTTTGAGGCCAGCCTGGTCTACAGAGTGAATTACAGGAGAGCCAGAGCTACACAGAGAAACCTTGTCTTGAAAAACCAAAACAACAACAACAACAAAAAGCCAAACACTACAGCCGTGTCACGTGCCGAGTGAAGAGCTGACACTTAGCAACGCCTCCCTGCTCCTGCTCCAGGTCTTGTCTGTGAGTGCGGTCACTTCCCATGGAGCAAAGCTGACAAAGTTTCTGTGTTGTGGGGGTCTGACGAGTGTCTGTCTCTGACTGGGGGCATGAGTGTTCTCGGGCTAGAGAGGAATCAAAGAGAGCAGGGAAACACAAATCCGCCACACCGTAGGTTCAACAGACAGCTTTTTATTATAATGAAAAGGCGGAAAATCTTTCAGCTAAAGGGGGTAAAAGAATCTCGGTAATCTACTACATTTTTTGATATAGCTTTTTTAAAAGCTTAGTAGCAGCAAACCATAATAATGCCAAGTAACTCAAAGCTCCCATTTTTTTTTCTTTTTCTTTTTTGGTTTTACGAGACAGGGTTTCTCTGTATTGTTTTGGAGGCTGTTGGTCCAGCCCAGCCTCGAACTCACAGAGATCCGTCTGCCTCTGCCTCCCGAGTGCTGGGATTAAAGGCGTGCGCCACCACCGCCAGGCTCAAAGCTCCCATTTTGCCAGCAAGTTATTTCCAAATTATTCCCCCCCCAAATTCTTAGTGGTTTTCTTAAGGGTGACATTTAGGAATAACAGAAAACACACATAATGAAGTAGGTAAGGGCCTGTGTGAGTTCCTGTTCGGTTGGATGTAGCCTGAGATCTTCTACTGTTTTCATGGTCTTCAAACCCTTTAACTCCAGGCTTCCGAATAAAGTAGCAGAGACAGCTTGGACGGAAAGGCACTTTGTAATAGCTGAAATACTGTGTAAATACATGGAATGCATAAGTTCCAGATGACAGAATCTGGGAGAGCCCGGCTACCAGGAGAGGTTGCCTTCTCCGGACAAGAAGCGCTTAATACAATGGGTTATAGCGGGAATACATGGCTGGAAGGCACGGGCAGCGGAATCAAAGCCCGAGGCCTTCCGATAGACACATCGCTCCTTGCTATCCTCACCGACTCCGGGGCCAACCCCCAGTCACTGTCTGGAGCAGCTGTGGGATGGCATCTATCTGTCAAAGTGCACAGGGACCTCTGGGCTACCCTCACAGGCGATGACGACACGCCTGGTGCTGGCACCTGCCCTGTACCTGCAGTTGGGAAACCTAGAGCCCCCTGTCTCTCTGCAGTCGGTGACCTTCACCACGCCCTCGTGACAGTTCATCCTGCCATTCTTGCACGGGATGCTGGTGGTACTGCAGATGCTGCGAATGTTCCAGATGTCTTCGTGGATGAAGGTGTTGAAGTGTTTGCACTGACGAGAAGTCATCTTCCGCCTCTGCATCATCAAGTTGCAGTAGTTGTCATTGCCGCCTGTCCCCTGAGGGTCAACGTGCTGCCGAAGGAACCGCTGGTACATTTGGTTCTGGCCGTAGGAGGGCCGCACCAGCCCTAACCCCAGCAGGGTCAGCACCAGGAGCAGAAGCAAGGGCCAGGTCCGCTGCAGAGCCATCGCTGCCTACAAAGTGCCTGGGAAGAAAGCAAGAACGGGGAAGGGGGGAGAGGGTCAGGACTGGACACTGCAGAGGCACCCAGCACTGCAACGTGAAACCTCCGGAGAGCCTTCCCTCCCCCTCCCTGCCACTCACGGTCGGCCCCACCGGCTTCTTCCCACCGCTCCCACTCCCTTCTCTGAGAGCAAATCGTTTGACAACACCGACTTCCTTGAAAGCGAACATCCTCTTGGCTAAATGACAGGAGCCAGGTATAGCCACCAGAGCAGGGCGGGGCAGATCCGAATGGGTGGTCAGTTGTCCGGGCCTGTGTGGCCAGAGTGAAATACAGGGACAGGTAAATCGGCATAAGGCTGAGGTGTGAGGTTTGTAAGAGGATTGGCTGGGATGACCTGACCGCAGGGGAGTGTTTGGTGTTCTGGAAATTTCAGTTCCCAAAGATGTAGACAGACTTGGGTCAAAGTAAGTTTACCTATTGATTTGAATGCCCTACATCTAGGAAACGAGGGAGATGAGGGAGACCAGACTTCAGTCTAGCCTTTCTCCTCCTCTGACTATTTTACCGGTGGAGGATTTTTGGGGGAAAGGGGGGACTCTTTACGTCTTTGTTAAAAAACAAATTCCCCCTTCTTCTCAAGGCTCAGGGACCATTTGGGAGAGAGTGGAAAGGTTGAAAGGCCAGGGTTGACTACAGTGAAGCAGTTTTTTTTTCTGGGAGCAGCAGATAACTTGCACATACGAAGTCACAGCTTTTTAGACAGCGTATACAAGGCCTGTGCAGACTCAAGCCAGCCTGGACGGGAGGGGGGGTGTGAAGCCTCACCCCCTAACTGAGGAGCCTTTGGCAAATGATGTTGGCTTGGAGAGGAAGAGAACATTTTCTTTAAGATGGTGTGACTCCTGGTAGGCTGACCATGTTCCAGAGGATGTTCAGGAGGGTCTGGGCAGAAGAAAGGAGACTCACTGGGTTTAAAAAAACGAAAAAGGAGGCTATGAAGTTGGGTGAGTAGGATGATGGGAGTAGCTCTGGGAGAGCTGGTGGAGGACGGTGAATATGAATAAAGTTCATTGAAGTTCTCAAAGAATTAAAAAAAATTATTTAAGCAAACAAAACAGGATAATAAACACATGGCCAGTGCTTTTCTACAGGCGTGGCTTAAGGAATTGCTATCAGATGCTGCCATCTGGCGGTCAGTCCTCAGATTGACTTGCAGGTTGATCGACCATAGCAAATGAAAAAAAGGAAAAAAAACATTCCTGATACAAGAGAGATGGAGACCCCAAAGTAACAGGGACATTTTTTAAGAGTCAAACAGACTTAACAATGCAAGTACAGTCCAAGCGCCGTCTCCTTCTGAGCGGGTTTGATGTACGCAGAGAGCATTGCACTTCCCTTCAAAGATGCTGCTTCAAGGTGGCAATCCCGCACATGGCTGGAATGCGCTATGAATCATGTGTACTGTACCCTGTCTGAAGCCCATGCTTTGGTGAGTGGTAACTGCCAGTATCAAACGCAACTGTTACTCTTTAACCCTCCCCAAACGCAAGTGTTACTCTTTAACGGTCCCCCGTATCACAGCCATGTCCACGCCCTACTTCCTGCCTCCAGCTGTAGGTTTGGGATAGCATCGATACAGTTATTAGTAGCCTTGGAGGCCACTGAGGATGGCCGCCTCCCTCATGTTTGGTTTGGGGGCCCTACTTCCTGTTTCCATGGTAACACTAGAAAGGTGAGCATCAACTTGGCACTCCTTGGGTCTCCCAATCAAAAGAACGGATGTCTGCCCCTGGGTCGTTAGTTATATGATGTTCTACTCTGCTCCGAAGATTAGCACATAGCAAACTGTTCTCTCCTCCCTTAAGGGTTAATCCAGCTCGGCTTGTCAATCACCCCTCAGGAAGGCTGATTCACCTAAAACCACGCTTAGGAGATGGGAGGGCTAACTTTTCTGGGCTGCCTATCACTTTTCTTCAGACACTGACCACAGTTTCTAACTACGCTTCCCTGGACTCCAGGCTTTCTAACTTTCTCTAACCCCTCCCTGCCTCCGCTTCTCTGTGCTGCTTGCTGAACTCCATTGCTGGACTTGGGCTGCTTTAAAACGTTCCCTTCTTCCTCTTCCTCTTCCTCTTCTCCATCTCCTCCCTCCTGCTAGCTGCCAAGGTCTGCAGCTTGTCCTCCACTATTTTTCTTTTAAACTCCAATGAAATGTTCTCAAGCTTCCTTTTTGAGGCTAAGTTATTTTTATCAAGGAGACCCAAAAGAAGGAACAGAGCATTCTGCTAACGCCATTCAGGAAGAGGGGAGTTAAGTGGTTTTGGGAGGAAAGGAGATAGAGAAATCTGGGGTTTGATTTACTTCTGGCCCAGTTCTAACTGTCAGCTTTGTCTTCGCCTAGAGCAACAGCTCTCAGTTTGTGGGTCATGACCCCTGTGGGGGTCTCCTATCCGACAGCCTGCCTGCCAGATATTTACATTTTGATTCGTAACAGTAGCAAAAGCAAAAGCACAGTTATGAAGTGGCAATGAAATAATTTTATGTTGGGAGGAACTGTATTAAAGGGCCACAGCACTAGGAAGGTTGAGAACCATTGGTCTAGAGTCAGCTGCCAAGGGAGCTTCAGCTAAGAGGTTTCCCAGGTCAGAAGGGCCTGAGGGCATGTCTGGGGCAGGGTCCTGACTGTTAATAACTGTAGAGGAGCCCAACCCACTGTGAGCAGCACTGTTCCCTGGGCTGTAGGAGAAAACCACTAAACATGAGTCTCAGGCCAGTCAGCAAGCAGTATTCGGCCATGGTTTCTGCTTCCAGCTACTTCAGTCCCTGCTCTGACTTCCTTCAGTGATGGGGTGTGACCTGAAGGTGTAAACCAGGCAGACCCTCCTGCCCCCCACTGAGTTATGTCTGCCAAGTAGCCAGGGATCAAAACAGCCCTCTCTCTGTCCAAGACCTCGGACACAAATTCTACAGGGACACACAGTACTAAGAATTTTAGCTTCAGCTAAACCACCTCTCATTTTACATGCCTCTTATTTACCTTCTCTAACCATGTTTTTTATTTTTAAAGTCTAAAATATGGATTAGCGAGAAAATTGGCCACATAGAAAACCTATTCATGCAACAGTAAACACACACTTCAGATACACTGACCAAATGAGTAAGTAAGACAGTAACAAGCATCCTAGGGGAGCAGTCCAAAGTGGACATGCAGCAGAGGCTCTCACCACAAGAGAAAACGAGGCGGCCGGAGATAAAGCCGTGATGGTTGGCAGAGCGCTTGCCTAGCATGCATGAAGTCCTGGGTTCTATTCCCAGCATTACACAGACAGGCATGGCGGGGCACACCTGTAATCCGAACGCATAGGAGGCAGAGGAAGGAATAAAAGAAATCAAGGTGGCCTCTGGCTCCAAGAGAAGGGCTTTCCAACCTAGTACATTTTTCACCAGGAACTGTCTATTGCAATATTGTGAGAAACAAATTTTCGACAGTGTAACAGATCTTATCACAATGCCTAGCACACGGTAAGAGGTAAAGGCTGGCGATTCTTTCCCATTTGTCGGCCTTTATCCTTGAGCATGTAAGGAGTTGCAAGCAGGGTCACCTTGGGGTGAAGGGGGCGGGGCTACTTCCTTCAGAAGGCAGAATTACTACATGGGAAGCAAGGGCTGTGACAGGCTCCAGTGAGCCAGGGATAGACTCTCACAGAGCAGAGAAAGGAACGCAGGCCCGGTCTTCAGAGCTAAGAGCCTTCACTTTCATTTTTTCTCATTTTCTTCTGCTTTCTTCAATTAGGAGACTATAACGAATGACTACAATGCGCTACACTCAGTACTATTGACTCCCTTTATTTTAAAGAGTTAATCACACTCTCAAAAAATCGGAGGTCTATTTGTTCGTGTTGTGTCCCTGGGGAGAGTTTCCTCTCCAACTGCATGGAATTTCCTTCCTCCCATGGTCACCGATCTGTGAAATTCGGGAATGTTTCTTGTCTTTTCCTCTCACAGCTAGCACTCACCTACGGTTTTGTCTTCTGTTTCTCAAAGGGTTTATTGGGACACAGCGCCTTACCTGTAATTTGACTTTCACTCTAAATAGCTTTGTATTGTGATAGAGCAGGAGACTCGGTACAAAAATGTCAGGACTGGTCAGCTGCTTCTCCATCAACAAGTGAGAAAGCACTCATCCAGTCGTGTGACTGTTGTTGTTGTTATTTGGTTGCAGGAACAGGTTGTCTCCTCCTATCACGTGAGTCCCCGAATCAAACTTGGGTCATCAGTCTAGGTGGCCAGCACCCTTACTCACTGAATGATCTCACGGGCCTTTTTCTATATTTTTTTTAGGACAACTTATCTGTTGAAAGACATTTGAACTTCTTCCTGTCTTCTGAAGAGATGGTGGAGATTCCTATGCCAAGCATCAGCAACTGACTTCCCGAGCCCTTCCCAAACTTGAACACTGCCAGGAAAGCTGGGCTCACCCAGGTACTGGCCCACAGCTTGAGGACTGGGAAAGTGGGGCTTTGGGCCAAATTTAGGACAATGATAGCAGTAGGAGGTATGTTAGGTAGACCTGCAACCCGGATATTCAGATATTCACAAGACAGCACGACTGATGGCTTTCACTTATTAGAAACTGTTTCTAAATAAAACACCCAGGTGTGTGTTCATGAGTCTTGCCTAGCAGGAAACCACCTACGGAGCTCATAGACTGGTCAGTGCATCAGACAGCATCCAACAAGCTATGTTTTATATTTGAAAACAAGTCTGGCAGAAGAATGTAAAAAAAAAAAAAAAAAGCTTGAAATCTTTCTATGACTTCCTTAAAACCCCACAGTTGTCGAATGTCACTCAATAAAGTAAAAAAAAAAAAAGACTAATGATAAAAAGTATATAAAGTAGCCAAGTTGTTAAAGTTTAAATAAATTAGCTATGCCAAATGAATGTCTTGGGGGCATTCCGTTAGAATCAACAACAAAACCATTCCTCAGGACAAGAGACACTGAATGAATAAAAAGAGGAACTGGAGGGGCTGTGAGAAGGGAAGGAAGCCCCAGCTTGGCAGTGTGGGAGGGAAGTATCTTATCACAATTAACCACTGCATAAGACCTTCCTCCCTTGCCAGCTGTAAACCTGCACTTTCCGAGAACCCAAGAAGAAACTTTGTTTCCAGGGAGGAGATGTGTACTAAACTCCTTGTTCGTCCCTAGCGGCTTGTGATTCTACCTTTGCAGATTGCAATTCTATCCAAGGCATCCCCTGAGCGACCCTATGATGCCACTTATCAAGAGACAGAGAAAAGGGGGCTTACGGTGGTTCAGCAGTTAAGAACCTGCTGTTCTTGCAGAGGACTCGTCATGACCATCTATAATTCCAGCTCCAGGGGATCCAGCCACCTCTGACCTCCCTGGGCACCAGGCACACATGTGATCCCCATACATACATGCAGGCAAAACACATGTAACAAAATACACATCAAATGAAATAAGCGATTTTTTAAAGAGAGGGAAAAGGAGGGATATTTTAGCAGCCTTTTAAGACGTGACTTGAGAGGCACCCAAATTGCACACATGACTAACACATGGCTGTCTGTTGGGAAGCCCGTACCCACATTTGGGTATGCCTCCTTTCTCAGTCCCTCTCTCGCCACCTTTATGTTGACAGCCTATGTTTAAAAATTATCATCTATAGGGGCTGGAGAGAGGGCTCAGAGGTTGGGAGGCCTGGGTGCTCTTCCAGGGGTCCTGAGTTCAATTCTCAACAACCACAAGTTGGCTCACAACCATCTACAATGAGGTCTGGTGCTCTCTTCTGGCTTGCAGGCATGCATAATAAATAATCTTTTCTTATTTTTTCTTAAAGACTTATTTATTTACTATGTATATAGTGTTCTACCTGCACATCAGAAGAGGACACCAGATCTCATTACGGATGGTTGTGAGCCACCATGTGGTTACTGGGAATTGAACTCAGGACCTCTGGAAGAGCAGTCAGTGCTCTTAACCTCTGAGCCATCTCTCCAGCCCAATAAATAAATCTTATTTTAAAAAAAACATCATTGATTAAAAACCTCCAAATCTGCTTCATACAGGCTAGTCTTGAAATTGTTGTCTGTGTGAAACCATGAATCTGGTTTGTTCAGAGTTGAGGTCCCTAAAAAAATTAGGTTTCTGGGGATGAAGCAGGAAGTTGTGTCCACCCCCTCAGTACCAACCGTCTCAAGCTGGTTTGTGTACAGGTATTTGTAAGAGAAGGGAGGAGAGGGTGGGGAGGGTGTCTTTGGTGTGTTGGCTCTCAGTCCTAAAGCCCTTTCCCTAAGGACTCCTTTAGTGACCTATTACTTAATAGACAACTTGACTCTTCTGAAAATCCCCATCCGGCCTGTCTGTAAATCATCTTCCTCGCCACCACAGACAGATGAAGTCCGCCCTCCCTTGATTGGCAGATAAGGAAGAACACCTCTGTTCCTGTCCCTTCCCCCAGGGGGCAGCTGAGCAGAAAACATAGGAAAAGTAAACATAAGTTTACTAGGAACTAGTGACTCTTCCGGACAGATTCTTAAGGGCTTTAGAGACATCTTTATTTATGTGCATTGTAAATCAGGAGACCTCCGTTTCAGATAGTTTATTTTCTGGCCGCTGGGGTAAGAGGGGATAAAGAGCCGACTCTGTGCCAGGAGCCTGCTGGCTATGAGCTGAAGAAAGACTCCTCTAAGTGGACAGGCAAGCCGTTTTCACAGGCAATAACAACGTATCGGAACCCTCTGGAGGCTCGGTACCGGCATGGAGGCCGGGGGGACCCTCCGCTATGCCTGCAGGTGGTGACCTGGAATTGAGAGGTGCTTTTTCTTAAGTTATCTGCGTAAGGAGCTCCATTGGTTTCACAGATGGCGTTGATGCTGCCCCTGGTGCCATGAATAAAGGTGTTGAGCTCCTTGCAAGGAGAGGTCAGCTTTCGGTTCCTCATTATTCTGTTGCAGTATCTGTCGTCCCGGCCTTTTGGATTGGCATCATAGTGCTGGTTCAGGAATTTGATATACCTGTGGTCATTCTGTGCCAGAGCTGGTGGAATCAAAACCAGACTCAGCATGAAGACCAACAACAAGGGGCCCAGACTCATTGTCATCTCTTCCAACAGAGAGTCCTGCCAAATACAAAAAAGTAGGAATAATAGGGCCATGGAACCACAGCCTAACTTAGGCTAAAGAGGCGGAGACTTTTCTCTCTAACACGTAACAAATCATTTGTTCTCAGTCATCAAATGCCATCTTTGCTGTGGCCTTCCTAATCGACTCCACGGCCCAGCCATCCTTCTCTGTCTTTTAGGATCACCATTAGTCACAGCATAATTATAAACTATTTACATTCTTAGTCAGGTATTACTTAACTTGAGAGCAAACGTTACCCACCTCCCTATTGGTCCCAGGAACTGTGCTAGATCCTGGGTCAAAGCTACGCTAAGGACAAGGTGTCGTGTGTGTCTGTAAGTCCCAGCTGCTTGGGAAACTGAGGCAGCAGGATCCTTGAGCTCTGGAGTTCCACACTAGCTTGGGCAACACAGAAGACTCCGTTTGGGGGTGGGGGTGGGGAGAAAATAAATGAAATGAAATGAAATGTGGCATCCAGGGGAAGCAAAGGTGCCTCCTGAGGCGAGACAAATGGTAACACAGGTGAGAGTCATGAAGAATGACTTCTGGGCGATCATGAGCACAGAGACCGCCAATCCCCCAAGGCTACCGAGACAGGATTCCAGGAACTCAGGTTACTCAGTTCCACACCAATGAGGAAAGCTGTGGAGAGCAAATCACCTTGGTGTGAGGTAGGGCAGGTGTGTGTCTCCCAGAGGGCGGAGCCACTACCCAGTGCATAGAAAGAATGGAACAGGGGTGCAGTACTTGAAGCGGGCTTGGGAACAGCGCTTACAGCGTGAAAAGGGGAATGCGGGCTTGCCTTTCCCAGTGTCTCGCTTCGGACGATTCGAGAGAATAGTTTCTAGTCTACTCTATGTTTGTGACACGGCTATCACAGGCATGCAATCTTACAGCATGGTAAAACAAAACGTAACAACACAAAAATGAGATGTCTTCATGAGGCCAAAGGACATGCGGTAAGGTCTCTCTGAAAAGGACGGAGAGATGACCTCTGCCACAGGCCTCCACCACAAACCACACACCTTAGGACCAAAGGTGCCCTCTGCTGGGGCTTGACCCTCTTAAGGACTTTGGTGACACCATTTTTTTTTTTTTTCGAGACAGGGTTTCTCTGTAGCTTTGGAGGCTGTACTGGAACTAGCTCTGTAGACCAGGCTGGCCTCGAACTCACAGAGATCCACCTGCCTCTGCCTCCCAAGTGCTGGGATTAAAGGCGTGTGCCACCAACGCCCGGCCTCTCTTCTGGACTTTGGAAAGATGTTATGTCTTGTGAAATGTGGAATTCTGAGAACCGAGAGGCACTAGGTGTTTGCGGCAAGCAGTTTGCGATAATGCCCTTCAGTCTTTGGAGAGAAACGTAAAGACCATTCCGAGACTCACAGCCCTCCTCACATCGGGGCTGCAGGGACGGCTTGGCAGTTAAAAGTGCACACTGCTCTTCCTGAGTTCCGGTCCAAATCTCACACTGAACAGCAGGTCCCATCTACATGCAACTCCAGTGCTAGGGAGTCTAACGCTCCTGGTCTCTGTGGGTGCACATACCTTCCCACTGACATGCATGTACACTCTCAGAATAACAAAAATTAATCTTTCTTTTTAAAGCGTTATAAGGAGAAAGTAGTTCAGTAAGTAAAAAGCTGGGCTTGAGGATGCTCTGTGAAGGGGGAAACATGAGTATCCCCTACTATTCACCCCAGTAACTGGTGAGTTTCAGGTCCCAGAAAACATGGTAAACGGCTTCCGAGGAACATATACACAAATGTGCACTTCCCACCAAACCCGCTGTATACACACAAATGTGCACTTCCCCACCAAACCTGCTGTATACACAAATGTGCACTTCCCACCAAACCCGCTGTAGGTCTACACCCCAGCATATTAAAGAGCGATGAATGCCCCCACATCTAACAACAAACGTTTTGAATTTTTTTGATACAGGGTCTTGCTATGTAGCCCAGGCTAGTCTGAAACTCTTGACTAAGAACTACCATGCACATAGATCACAGCACAACTGGTCCATGGCTTAATAAAAGCTACTTCCTTTCATAATAAGCTGTATCCGTTTCCCATCCTTAGGTATTCCTTTTTTATTAACAAGGATGTTCCAAGATGCCCTCCAGTGATGGAATGAGATAATTTATAGCCAAAATAGACCAGCTCATTGATGCTTCTCTTTCAGACTTTGCCGTGATATGTATTAGCAACGATTCCCGTCATTGCTACAGAATACCAGGAGGAAGCTGGAAGTGTCAGAAGGACAAGGCATCCCACCGTGACGGTCAAGCACTTACTCCGCTTTGACATGTAACACACGTGTTGGAACTGTGTGGTGTGGAGAATTGAGGACAGCAGCAGTGCTCAGGACGAGTTATGCAAGTGTGCTGTAGCATAGGTATTCCCCTCGCAAGGCTTACAAGTGTGTAACCAAGAAGAGATTTTCTGAAACGTCTTGTGGAAGCAAATACACTCCTGCTTGAAAATTATCATCCATCAAGTAAAAATTATGTATGTTACTAAACTATAGACATTTATAATCGAAGACATAATGTTAATGATAATTTTAAAAAAAGAACTACCATGCCCACTCAATGTAGTTCTGGGGGGATGGAGGCAGGAGCATCAAAGCTTCAAGGCTGGGCTGGAGAGATGGCTCAGAGGTTAAGAGCACTGGTTGCTCTTCCAGAGGTTCTGAGTTCAACTCCCAGAAACCACACGGTGGCTCACAACCATCTGTACTGAAATCTGGTGCCCTCTTCTGGCTTGTAGGCATATATGCAGATACAGTGCTGTATACATAATAAATAAAAAAAAATAGACCTTGTCTGTAAATAAATAAAATAAATGTTGCATCTTTCAGCCTGAAAGAAAAGTGTTACTGAAAGGTCAGCCCCAGGTAAAAGGTTTTTTCTTTTCTTTTCCCTTAAAGTGTGGTACATAGTTAATCATTCATTTTATTTTGTGTTTCTCTCCTGTGTAAGTCTGAACACTTTTACTGTGTGTGTGTGTGTGTGTGTGTGTGTGTGTGTGTGTGTGTGTAAAGGCGAAGTTTTGGCACTCAGCCTGTATGTGGTTTATTCCCTGGTGCAGGCTCAGGGAGAATAGCAGGAATCAGGGGGCCAGCAGCCAGCGGCCTTACTGAGCCTGTGGGAGACAGATGATGGACAGGGAAACAGACTGTCTCTAACCGGCATCTGATGCTAACCCACCCTCTCTGTTTCGTGATAACCGTAGACAAACTCGGCGTGTGGCTAAAGGACACCAAATTCTTGTCATCTCACAGCACTGAAATAACAAGCCTCCATTACGTGTGCAGATCATAATCTGCAACAGAATCAAACTCGAGTGTGCCTTGTTGTTTGTTGAGAAAAGACGGTGCCTGGTGCAGAGGGGACAGTCGCCCCACCCTCATAAGCTCCGGCTGCTCCAGCAGAGCTGTCGGGCTGCGTGACACCCACTTGGGGCCGTCCTGGGGTGTGATTTCTCATCAGAAATTAGGAAGATGCATGCCCGCAATCATAGAACAGGCAAGGAGACCGCGGCAAGTTTGGGGCTAGCCCGGTTGCCTAGGGAGATCCACGCCAACCTAAACACACACAAAGATAACAAGAACTGGTAGTACTTGAAAGCATCGGCAGGTGGCAGCAGTGGGTAGGGAGGCTGCCATTTGGTAGAGACAGTTGACCCTTGTGGAGGTGCCAACCCATGCTTAATTACGACCCTGTAGGAGTGCAGGTCGTGGCATATCACAAAGCAGATGTTTGCCAGCTCTGGGGTTTCCAAGCACATGGTTACTCGTGTGATCTTGGGCAAACAACCATTGACCCGTCCATATTTCCTCACGCTGTGTAATCCACAACCGAGTGGGATCCGCATTCTTTACCTTGCTCCACAGCAGACTCTCAAAAACCCCCTTGGTGATTAGCTTCTATTTCTCCTCCGGGCCTACGAATTGCCATCCATAAGTGAGAGGGTTTCTTTCTAGCTTCGAAAGTCCCAAGGTCTATGGTTCTCACTAAGCTCATAGATCCTTTACCGGTTTCATTCGCAGAATTCAGCAGCGTTGGAATTACAGGGCAAATTTACATAAGGCTGTTGATGGTATGAGGTACCGAGTGGAAGAAATCGGTGATGGGTCAACCTTGGCCCAATCTCACTGAAACACATCTTCCATGAAGGTTGTCCGTGTAAGCCAAGCCCGTGTACCATCAATACACCAACACTGCGCGGGGTTTTGCCCCCTAAAAAGACCCTTGCTTTTTAGATTTTGAAAGTACTCAGGTCTGTGTGGCCAGGTAAAGGCCTTACTTGTTTCTAACTTGCAGAAGTTTCACATTAACTTTTGCCAGCTCACCTAATGCAGTTCTCGGGCTTATTATAACTTCACTTCTCTAAAACACCCAGAAACCGAATCCCAGCAGCACACCACGAACACCAATGTCTACCCCTGCAACTGCCTCACTCACATATTTAACTCTAGATTTCCCCCAACACCAGGAGAAGTATAATTGTGAGAATACAAGCGATAGCTGGATTATTTGGGGTGCAGATGTAAATCCACCAAGGACCAAAGGTGCTGAGCCCATCACTGTCGTTCAGAGTCCCGTCCCGAGAATGTGTTCCAACTCTCCTGTAGACTGGTCCCCACAAGAACTGATGTTCTCTTCCCTGCTCCATTGGCAGTGCTCTGCACACAAGGGATGTAGCAGGGCTGAGGGTGTGGAGAGAACCCCTAGGGATGTAGCAGGGCTGAGGGTGTGGAGAAAACCCCTAGGGATGTAGCAGGGCTGACGGTGTGGAGAGAACCCCTTCACAGCCAACCCCAGCAACACTTCCGGAGAGAAGCCATAATGCCAGGCTTCCTTCGAATCGTTCCTCCTTTCTGCCCCAGCCAGCACCTTTTGATCCTGGGACACATTCCATTTTGTCTATAAATTTTTTTTAAAGGAGAGAAATGTGTAGGAAGCAGCGCTGACAGCTTACTTCCTGGTTCGGG